ACTAGAAGTAAATAGACTAGAAGCCTTTAGTAAGACCGTTCCATGCATTTGTAACACAGTTGAAATCATTTGTTATATTCAGCATTCCATCCTGGGATCCTCTGTCCCAACCATCTAAATGAGATTTTTAATTTGTATATGTTAAGGCTCACTCTTAGTACTCTAAGGTTCTTTGGGTTTTGACAAATGCATAGTAATATCTATTCACCACAATGGTATCATATAGAATAGTTCAACGGTGGTTAAAAAAAAAATTCCTTGTGCTTCACCTATTGTAACTCTCCACCTCCCTGACCCCTCAGCAATCACTTACCTGCTTAAATGTCTATGGTTTTGCCTTTCCCAGAATGTCAGATAAGTGGAATAATACACTATAGAGCCTTTTTCAGACTGGCGTTATTCATTTAGCAATATGCATTTAAGAAGTGTCCATTTTTCTGCAGATTTGGTAGTTTAGTCTTTTTTAAAGATCTTATCCTGAGGATATGTTTATTAATGAGAGAGAGAGAGAGAGAGAGAGAGAGAGAGAGAGAGAGAGAGAGAGAGAGAGAGAGAAGCAGCTGCCTCCAACACATGCCCTGACCGGGGATCGAACCCCACAACCTAGGTATGTGCCCTGACCAGGAGTCAAACCCCCAATCTTTGGGTGTATAGGACAATGCTCCAACCAACTGGGCCACATGGCCAGGGCAGTTCATTCCTTTTTATTGCTGCATATTACTCCATTATATGGATGTACCACAGTTTGTTGAGACATCTGTTCATTGCAGTACATCTTGGTTTCTTACAGTTTTTGATGATTATAAACAAAACTACTACAAGCATTCATGTGCACCTTTTCATATGGACATGTTTTCACATTTGCTGGGTAAAAATACCTAGGAGCATTATGGTTGAATTATGTGGTAAGACTATGTTTAGGTTTATTAGAAAGAGTTAAACTGTCTTCCAAAGTGGCCGCTCTATCCTGCAGTCCCATTGGCAATGAATGCGTGCTGCTGTTGCTCTGAATCCTGGCCAGCAATTGGTATTTTCAGTTTTTAGTCATTTTAACAGATAATGTAGTATCACATTGCTGTTTTAATTTGCATTTCCTTAGTTACAAATGATGCTGAGCATCTTTTAAATGCTTATTTGCCATCTATAGATCGTTGGTTAGGTGTCTGTTCAGATATTTTGCTCATTTTTCATTAAGTTTTTTGTTTTCTTATTGTTTAGGTTTAAGTTACTTATATATGGCTGACGAATTATTTATCGGATATGTAAATGTTTCTTCCCAGTCTGTGGCTTATCTTTTCATTTTCTTAACAGTATCATGGAGCACAAGTTTGTTTTTAATTTTAATGAAGTTGAACTTACCATTTTTTTTCTTTCATAGATAGTGCTTTTGTGTTGTATCTATAAATTCTTTACCACACTCAAAGCCATGTTGATTTTCTTCTATGTTTCCTTCTAGAAATTGTGTAGTCCTACATTATCATTTAAATCTGCAAAATCGACCTTGAGTTAATTTTTGTCAAAGATGAATACAAGGTCTATGTCTAGATTCTTTTTTATTTTATTTTTTTTTTTTGCATATGGGTGTCAAATTGTTCTAGCATCATTTGTTGCTACTGTTGAAAACTTTTCTCAGCCATCCATAGACTCTGTTTGTCTCAGTATAATGTAAACCTGCTCATGAAATTAATAATATTTAATAATATTTTAATGTCACAAATCTAAAAGGTATAAATGAATTCTACTATATGTTAGCATGCATTTGATGATGTAAGTTTTTGATGGGCCATGGTGAAACTACCATGGCCCGTGTCCTGCCTGCTTCTTCTCCTCATTTCCCCTCGTCCGACGACCCCAGTGCTCTGGCAGCCTTTCCGAGGCTGAAGCGCACCTGCGCTGTGCTTGCCTTAGGGCCCCGACACTGTCCTGTGGGAGACTTTCAATCCACTTCGACTTGATGGGTCTGAAGGGTTCTTGAAGCTCGGGATCTTTTTCTCGTGGGAAAGAATGTAAACTTAACAAATTGTGACTGTCAAGAAAGTTCTGTCAAGATCTGAATGTTCCTTTCCACCAGATACATTATTCATATTGCAACAAGAGAACATGCCATGTTTACAGAATTCCTGTGAGAAGTTTCTCCTAAAGCGGAAATGATGCTGCCTAATCTTCTAATGTTTCTATTTGGAAAACAGAAAGGGATTTGATTCTTAGTGCCTTAAATGAGGTGAGGAAACCATACCAGCCCATTCATTGCACTCCAGCTTAGGGCTGGGTCAGAGGCACCTTTGACGCAGCCACCAGAGCGTGCCTGGCAGCTCCTATCCCAGGGAGTGACTTTAGTCTGAGGTCCAGGAAGAAGCAGTAGTTGTAACTCACCCCATGGCAGAGAGGGGAAAGCTACCTAAGGAATATTTCAATACTGTCTTGCATGAGGAATAGAGAAAGCTTAAAAATCCTTTGACTGGTTTCTGTCTCCAAGAATCTTTCAACTTCCATCTCTTTTTGTTTAAAACAAGCAAGGACAGGTTCTGCCCAGAAAATGGTCTGATTTTGACCGATTGCACAACATGTTGTCCTGGGGTGCTTTTCCCTGACCGGTTCCTTCTCATCATTCTGATCTTATCTGGAATACCAGTTGACCACATTATTTTTAAAGCTCCCCCTTCACCTAATCACCATATTTCATTTTCTCCATGGGTCTTCTCACTTTCAGAAACTGTTGTGTTTGTTTTCTGTTTTTCAAACTACTTCTCCACTCTCCCTTTAGAATCTAAATGTCCATGAGGGCAGGAACCTTGGCTATTGGTCATTGCTAAGATATGGAACATAGGTCCAAACTGAAGATTTTTAAGTTATTGAATAATAGAACAAATGAATGAATGAGGGAATGATGGTAGATTAGAAGTCAGGCTTTTCTTTTAGGCAGAGCCTAGAAAAATTGGGCATTTCAATGTATTAATGAGAAGAATGTATCAAAAAGAATACAGAGGCAATGAAGTAAAAAAAAAATCCTATATTTCTTCCATTTTGCTAATTTTAGAAGGATAATGTCCTGTTGGAGCAATTAATTCTCTTTTAGAGTCATCTCTTAATTGGCTGCAATATAAGGAGATCTTCCAAATTGTTTTAGGAATCTGTCATTCCTCTGGTGTCAATAAATCCAGACATAATAAAGCTGACTTGGTGAATCAGAAGCCCTTCTCTCTCCACTCTGTATTTCTTCCATTTGTACAAAAGCTTTTAGTTTAATTTAATACATTATTGTAAAAGAAAGTGTCCATTAAATGGCCTGAGGAAAGTGAAAGATGTGTTTCTTTTAGGGTGTTTTTTTTAAATGAATCATTATAAAATAGAATACTTTAAAAATGACATTCAAATGATTTTTAATTACTACAAAGGCATTTAGATGTTAATATATTTTATGTAAAAGGGAGGGATACTATTCTACTTGTCCTTTTCTGCCACAGATTCCAAATCTAAGAAAATTATTTCTTTTGATCCACTCTGAGAGCATGTAATAAAAGAACAATAAAACATATGGCTCAATTACCGCTGCTTCTCATCTAGCATGAATTAATGACTATCACATTATTATTAATTGTTTTTTCTGGCTCCCTTTTGATATGGCAACAATTATACACAGTTGAATTTTGATAAGCATTTTGTGTTTAACACTGTGGACTAGTCTCTAAGAAAAGCAGATGCTTGAAATCATCATACAGAAGAATAATTCTTTAAATTTATCAACATTGGGAAAACACATGATTATCTTTTTTAATCTCCCTGGTTTATGGCAGTTTTTTACAATTGCCTTAAATTTCCCCAAAATTCTACCCTCTCTTTCATATTCCATATGCCTTTCTTCAAGAAGCAGTTGCTTTGTACATATAAAATAGTTTATAAGTTCAATTTCGCAATCTTAATAATACTAGTTTCTCATGTATGATTATTGAAGTTTCAGTTCCTTAAGAAAAGTTCCTCTAACAAAAAGCTATCGCTTGAGCAATTAAATAATTAAGTTAACCAGTGGGGTATAGAATATAGTTAATTGTGATCACCATAATTGACAAAATCAATGTCAATGAATGATATTTATAGACGCTTCACAAAAACAGTCTGTCATTGATAGTTCATTTTATTTTTATAAGTCATCTGTAAATATAAAGTGCTAGGTAACATGAAGAGATGTAACATGATACAGAGCATGTCTTCGTAGTCCATAACCATTATTTTCTCATAGATTATTCATATACCCAGAGTTTGAAATGCATGCAAAAAATTTAACAAATTATAATATGTAAAATACATGTCATATAATTTTACCCGTTACCCATAAATCAATGTCTTTCTGTTTTTAAAAATTATATCTGCAGTAAAATGAAGGGTGACCCAAAGATTAAATTGCTCAGACATCCTTTCTAGTTCAATATGATTAACAAACCCATATTCAGATATAGTTCTAAAGAGTGAACAAAAACTTGCTTTAGAATAATTTGGGGAACAGAAAGAGACCTTAGGGACAAGTTTCAATGCCCCTCATGGTTCAGATACAAGCACAGGGACCCAGAAAGTTCAAAGGATTTTCTGAGGTCCACATGGCTTTATATGTTCCCACCTTTCTGCCACACTTTATAAGAAAATGTCTATCAACATTTCTTCGGCACATGAAGGAGACATAGCCTGCTTTCTTGACAGTGGGTCAAGATGTCAATAACGTCTGCAAACCCAAATTCTTAGGGAAACAAAGGTGAGAAAACAGAAGCCTGTTTGTAACAGCAACCACGCCACGCAGCCTGAATCGCGAGCAGAGGAGGCCCTGTCCAGAGGACGCCCGCAGCCGTCAGGAGCCCTGTTTCTTTGGCGTCAGTAACTGAAGCCACTGCATTTTTGATGACTGAATCCAGCAAGATAACAGATGGTTCCCTTTATGTATGTGACCTTATTGAAGACAATTAGATTATGTGTGCACCAGCAGAATAGTTAATTGTATACAAAAAGTCAATCTCCAGTGTAAAAGCTTTTTCTAAGTTACATAATCTCAAAATAAAAATTTGAATTCCTGAATGAATGCTTTCATCTTGATTCCCACGTGCCAGAATTATTGAATCCACTTTGCTGAAAACATTAAAGGACATGAGAGTTAGAGATGTGAATTCAGTACAAAAATCAAGTCTATAACTAAACATTTTTAAAATAATCATTCATCAAGGGGGTCATGGTGGAATCGGTGCTTTACTTTTTCCTTCCGCCGCCTTCGTCACCGCGGCTTTTGGTCACACCATAGATAGGAAGGGCTGATGCCCTTCCTTATAAATACATTTATAAGATGCCTGAGTTGTATCTCGATAACTTAAATTTACTATAAAAATGCAATGCCTGTGGAGTGCACACAGACAGGGAGGAAGACACAAGGACTTCTGCGTTTTTGGTGGCCAGATCTCCTGCCATACCATGGACGCCTGGGAGGCTGAAAGTTTTAGAGTTGCCGCCATATGCATCAAAGCTCCTGACATAATATTGGATCGCGACAAGGCCGCTAAATTAGGAAGAAAATGGAATATGAGAACTGGCTGGGGAAAGCAGAAAATAGAAGGCAAAATATGAATGTAATTAGTTTTGTTTTTGTAATTGATTCTGCAGCCTGATGGAACGTGGGCTTTTAAAATATTCTTCAGAGCATTTTCCAGATATAGCCTCCCAGTACCTCATTTATATTACACATTTGTCACTAAATTCCATATTTTGGATCCCATGTAAGAATCACAAATGTTCCTCTTTTACACCAGGACATCAGGGAACTTGTTGGTTGACCAGTTCCCCAGTATCACCTTGGTTATTCTCTGTACTTTTGAATTAAAAATAAAGTGTTGATACTGGCTTTTGAAAAACTAATCAAGTTTAATAGGATTTTATTTTGATAATTTACTGGCACTGAGCATATCTTTTAAATCAACTTTTAAAGTTTTCATGCTAAGTTTATAGGAGATGTGAGTTAAAAATGCGAGTCACTAGTGTTTGTTTCTCACATTGTTTTATGCTAATGAATATCCCAAATTATAGTAATGTTGATCTTAAACTGATAAAAATACTTAGATGCTATATATTAACATAGAATTATATAGAATTAACTTCAAATTCCCCATAAAAAACATTAAAAGGCAATTAGCATAATCAAATTAGGTAAAAAGTATATTTCAGTGCAAATATAAAAGGTCATTCCCAGATATGGACTTGAATTCCAACAATTATTTGATCAGAGATGATCTATTTTGTTTAGGAAAAAAATGGAAAAATTTCTATATTAAACAACCGCCTTGTTTAGTTGTATCTATGTCTGATCTGATATCAGAAAAAAATATAAATGTTTACTGATTTTATACCATAAGACAAAATACTACCAGCCCTGGGTGGTGTGGCTCAGTGGATTGAGCGGGGGCCTGTGAACCAATGGGCTGCCAGTTTGACTCACAGTCGGGGCACACGCCTGGGCTGCAGGCCAGGTCCCCAGTAGGGGATACATGAGAGGTAACCACACACTGATGTTTCTCTCTCTTTCTCCCTCCCTTCTGCTCTGTAAAAATAAATAAATAAAATCTTAAAAAAGAAAAAGACAAAATACTACCATACTGTCTGCAGCTGAATTTAACAAAATATAATTAATAAAATATTTTTGCTAAATTGAAATCGTTCAACAATTTAAATGCTCATTAATATTAGCAAAAGGAATAGTTTCTTGCATAGCTTAACACTTACCCACAACTTTAGAGTAACAAGGTTCGCAGTGTATTGTCTGTTTATAAATCCAAATACTGTCTCCTGCCTTCAGGTTTTCCAAAGACTGTTTGCATATTTCACACTAAAGGGAAAAGACAACATACAGAGTTTACATTACAGATAAAGTCTAGATTCTTAGCATAACATGATAGTAAGCCCTTTCTATTCCTTAGGTACTAGTCTCCATGTTAATAGTCAGACAAAGCCTCATGGGAATCCATGGGGACAGGGAGAAGGTACCTGTCTATAATCCACATGCAGAGCTTTTCAAATATATTCTCACAGCATCTCTCTACTATACAGGTGTGCATTTCAGGGCATATCTTCCACTGAAGTTTCTACTTAACCCGCTATAGGATAGGTATGTTTTCAAAAACTGGCCATGCCGAGGACGAGTTCACCACTTGATATCTCAAACAGAAACACTAAGGCTGTTCACGGTTTGCTTGCTTCAGGTGGCCTGGGATGCCCAGGCATGCGCCCTGGACATTGAGCAAACGTTAAGCAAAACTGATTTCTGATCTTATGTAGGGTACACAGGAAATCTTGTTTTGAGTTGTGTTGGTTAGGAGGCAGGACAGGGCTGACATTTGCTTTAAACCTGTGTTTATGGGAGCAAATCCACTGTCTGTTGGCTGACTTTCAAGCGTGAGGCTGTCACTGAATGGTTGGCTTTCAGAGGCAAGCTCATTGAAGCAAATGGCCATTGCACAATTTGACATGCTGAAACCAATCCAGCCGGTTCTCTATTATCATGGCTATACAATAATCCACCTTTTTCTAGGAGTGTGGGGACATTTTTATTCTTAGCAGTATTTTGTAAATCATCCAAAATACAATAAATGGAAATTATTCATATTTATCAAAAGAAATAACCAGGATAGTTTCTTTGTTTTAAAAAGTTTTCTGCATACTAATTTTAAATAAAGAACTATAATCTTTTTATATTGAGTAAATTTTAATAACCAAAATGAAATTTTATTTCCTCGTAATTAATTATAGAATTTTCAGAATATATTTTATATAATATTTTATATATTATGGACTAAATTAGATTTTTTTTGCTCAAAGTGAGGCATTATGTTTCTGATTGCTATGTATCACTGTCTGAAGAAAATTGGAGGAGAAGCCATGTGCTGCAAAAGTATTACAGCAAGGTGACTGAATTAGATAATTCCCATCAATCATAGAATGTCAGCATAGAAAGAACCCATAGATTGAGAAAAGTAGTTCTCAAATTGGCTGCCAATTACATTGATCTAAGGAGATTTTAAAAATACCAATGCTCAGGAATCACCTCTGAGATTCTTGATTTAATTAGCGCTGGTCCGAAGCACTCTATTTTTCTCCCAGCCTACCCAGGCAATTATAATAACATACAGCCACAGTTGAGAACTATTTGTCTAGTCAGCTTTCTCATTTACTGAGGCCAAGCTAATTTTAGGTGACTGTTCCAAAAGTCACACAGCCACAGTTAGTGGCAGAGTCAGAACTCTAACTCAGATCTTCTTCAGATTCCCGGTTCAGTTGTTGTAACCGGCTCACCAGTTACAACAAAACTATAATGTTGACCTACCCAGTATTATTATGGAAGTAAAAGGTGTGAAATACGAAAACATAAACTGTGAAGCATTCTACCATGTGTGCTTTGTTGTAACCATACTAAGTAGACTGAGTTTCAACCATTTTTAAGCCTATCAGTCCTTACTCCATGATATAAGGAGCTGCTAGCTCTCTTCTCGACCATTTTTTCCCCTCTTTAGACTCCATTATACAGGTAGTGGCACAAAAAAATCCCCTTTGTTTAATTACAAAATCTTTTATTACAAAATCATCAGCATGTAATTCTGTGATATCACAATATCACACCCAAGCACACCGTATGACATTTTAGGTGAAATATTCAAACTAAAACTATAAATTATTACATCCATATTATTACCCTACCAACCATACTCAAGCAGGCATTACTTCTGACTGACTCTGTATATTTTATGTAATGCACGATTTATTAAAATGTTGTAAAAGTGTTTGTAAAGAAAACAAGGCTTTATCTTTTTATAGGTTTAAATCTCTTGATTAAGAGGAATAAATGTGTAAGTAATCAACACAAAGCCTAAAGCCAAACTGGTAATTATAAACCTTTGAGGTCTGGCTGCAGAACTCCGAGAGATATTTAAGTGGTGCATTATTAATGTGGATGAGAGTGTTTCTGAAAGCTTTAACTTTGCTTCATGTATTTCATTAAATAGTTATTTTTATTCCAATCATTATGCAGTTTTACATTTAGTTAAATACAATAAACACGCCCTTACCTTGAAGCAAGTGGAGTGGCAGCAAATTTGTAATTCATCTAAAATCATTTTAGTGTTTGTGCCCAGGGGTTTTCTGCAGTAAGTGCACATGTCTCTTTCAATGACAGACCTATCGAGATGCAAGCAATTAAAAATAAATTTGCCACCATTCAAAAGACAGATTCACCACAGAGTCATGTGGAAGTATGTTAATTTTGTTGATATTTTAGGAAACTGTGTAAAAATCAAGGAAAGTTTGGGATTTACTTATTCTAGTGATAGAATTGATTCTTCTAGTTACCTCAAAATAATACCAAAGAATTAACATAAAAGAAAGTCTCAAATTATTAATTCATTAGCAATCAAAAGTGCAGCTGGGCAGGGCAAAGATAATTACAGTTTCTTCATTGAGCTCATTCATGAGTACCCCTCGAAATCCAAAGAGGGTTTTGAATTATTAATTTACATATATCACAGAAAAAATATACTGTAGAGTAATATAAAATCTTAACTCTCAAAACATGCACTAGGACAAAAATAGAAATCCATTCGAGAATCTAGGGTCTAAAGTCACCAACATGCTGGGCTACCTTTTATGACAAAATTTATACTCCCCAATATGATATGACAAATCTGATGAAGGAAAAAGAGCTTTATTATTTACTTTGGAAAAATAATATTCAATAATAAATGAACTACAGATATTTAAACAGCAAGTCTAGAAGACCGCGGGTCACACCAGAGCCTTAGGAAAGGCCAATAACTATGTGATACTTTTTCCATTTGGAAGGTCTTGGGACGGTCTTAAGTGGCGCTTTCAGGACTTCACTAGTTTCAGGGTGCTGGCGTGCAGCCCTGAAATTTCCAGAGTTGGTGCATAATGGGGTGGTGAAATAAAAACACCCAATGCTAATATGCTTAATATGTACAGTATATTTTCCATGCATTTTGCTTCTATAAAACTCATTTATCCTTCACAATATTGCTGAGAAGCAGATGCTACTGCTTCTATCATCATTTTACAGAAGAGGAAGCTGAGGCGCAGAAGGGTGCCTGCCATGCAGCTAGTGTGTAGCAGAGGCAGGGTTCGACGAAAGGCAGCAGGGCCCCAGAGTCGCTGTGCTACCTTTGGGCCTGGCCAGGGGGCCTACTGGGCTCACTTTGTTGAAATAAATGAGTCAGCCCAGGAACCATGATCCTCTTGTCCGGCCCCGGACTAGAGGCTTGAGGGGGGACAGAAATGGAAGGGAGGAGGAAGAAGAAGCCGGAGAGGAGAGGGATCGGAGAAGGTAATGCTGTCAGGTTTTACACATTCAGTCATTCTAGTAACCTCCTCCTAACCCTCATGGATGTAAATAAAATTTTCCTCTCCCACCTCACTCTATAGCTACTGGCTTATTACTCCTGCCAAATATTTTCCTATGGCTTATTCATACTCTCTCTCTCTCTCTCTCTCTCTCTGAATGTCCCAGGCAAGTATTTCAAGAGTAGAAAACAGGCACTCTCTGTCATTCCATTCCAGAGGCAACGAGCTAGGAGCTGGGAATGTAAAGAAAAGTGAGACGTTGTCCTCCAATGAGAAGCTTCCTGTCCACTTGGGTAGCCAGGTGTGTGATTAGATGGCGGAAGCATTTTATAGACACGTGGAAAGAGTCAGCAGAGCACAGCCCAGGGAGCCACTCATCCCTGCGGCGAAGGCAGGAGAGGCTGGCCGGAAGTGTCCCGTGAGTTACAGCCGAGCGTGAAGGAGCTCTCAAGGTGAACTCCGTGCGGTGGGGAGGGCCGTGATGGGGGATTCCGGGCGGAGTGAGCAGGTGGGACGGAAGTGCCGCAGTGAGGGTGTCTGGAGTGATTACACAGTAGGCAGTGTGCAGGAGCAGGTGCTGAAGGCCCACACATAATGTGCAGCGGAGTCTGTCTTTATCCTGTAAAGTGGGAAGCCACTTAAATGGGATTAGGGTGCTTAGATAAGAGCTGTGGGGACAAGGCTCCTCTCACACAACAATCAACAGAAGAAGTTGTGGACCGACTGGTCTTAATAGAAAATTGACTTCTGCTCTGATGACGAAGAAAAATTTCAAGGGCCATCTTGAAGAAGAGGACTGAAATTCTTCATATTAAGAGCAATACTTGTATGGAGAATGTTTTCCTTCCTTAAGCTAACAGTAAAAATATGAGCTCAGGAAAAGCTCTGATGTTGGTGTTATCCTTGTTAAAATGCTATTAGTCAAAGACCTTTCTGAAGTATTATGAAGAATCCAGCTCTGGTATTTGGTTACCTGGACAGTATTTGTATTCCATGCATGTGTAGATGACTTCACTCCTCAAAGAACAATAACTTAAAGGCCAGACACTCAGAGTGCATTGGTAACAGGCAAGATTTTACAAAAGTGACAGAAAGAGGATATAATTTTGATGTCTGGTTTATCCATGTTTCCCTTAGCAAACAGAACATAGGTTCATTTTTTTCAGAAAACGTTTATTGAGTATCTCCTTAGTGTCACTGCATTACAAATTGAGGTTGTGCAAAAAAGTGAAGTATGTTTTTACCCCCAGTGAGCCTTATTTCTACCTCCTTCTATAGAGAAACACCATCCGTAGAATATCAGACATTTGCATTACAGCTGGTTCCCAGTGGTTGGGATGAAATGCTGATCATTTATTTTCATTTCCTCCATTGGAAATCTGGGGCCGCACACACAAGTGTCATCTATTTGCCTCACTGAACAGTAAAGGGTAAAAGATGATCACCAACAGCAAGAGCCTGGGGTCAGCTTCCCAGCACAGAACTGATACTCACTGGGACGCCCTCCTGGGAATGGAGTGTGGGCCCAGAGTGGGTAGGAGCTGCGCATCCACGCAGCTGTTTGTAAGGCGAGATGGCTTCGGGGAATCACCACGAGGGAGGGTCGAAGGGCACAGTCTGGTGACGCAATGCAACCTAGACTCTGATAAATGCGGCAGTTCTGGGGACCCCGGGGAATCGGCCACAGCAGGGGGCCGGGCCTGGGAGGCAGCTGTAAGGCACAGAAAGCTGTGCTGGAATAAAGCACATTAGCAAGAGCCTGGAAGCCAAGGAGCAAGTTCCTGGATGCAGAGGTTATTGTACTTCATACACTTACAGGGTGGGGCAAAAGTAGGTTTACAGTTGTTCATATGGAAAATAATACAGTGATTAATAACTAATAATACAAGAATAAACTCTGTTTCATGTACACACAACTATAACCTACTTTTGCATCACCCTGTATACAACAATCACCATCAGTAGCACCATCTCCAAGTACAATGGACAAAAAAGAATATATACATATAAAATGTACATACAAGTGTGTGTATACAGACTTTTATGTATGGAAATATAGACATACTCACCTATCTGAAGTCGAATAAACAGTTTGTATGTATTTTCGAGAGACATCCTCCTGGTAGCCATCCTTTGGTGATTTACTAGAAACAACACATACGGACATGTGAGAACTGGGCTGTTTCCCTAGTATTAATGTCCTCGCATATACCTGCATACACACCTCTTCGTACGGCCTTATTATTATATTCTTAGTGATGTTACAAGCCAGGACAATATACTGATACACTTTTTTTTTTTTTTTGACCCTCACCTGAGGACATTTTTGCATTGTTTTAGAGAGAGAAGAATGGAGAGAGAAAGGGAGAGAGAGAAACATCGATACAAGAGAGAGGCTTTGACTGGTTCCCTCCCGTACATGCCCTGATCGGGGATCTAGATTATACCTGCAACCTATGCATATCCCCTGACCAGGAATTGAACGCACAACCTTTCGGTTATAGGGTTATAGGATGATGTTCCAAACAACTGAGCAACACTGGCCAGGGAGATACCTTTTTTTAAAAAGAATCTGGAGAAAACATGATACACAAGCCACCTCCAAGTTCATATAAGCTGACATATCCACGTAAGTAAATAGGGAACGAGGCAAGGGCGCGCAGCAAGGGATGCCATTTTTTAATGAAATTCATGCTTGTACCTCCCTCATTTATTTACCAAAGGAAAGCTACACATAGTCTAACATAAAGGAAATGCATAAAGCAAGAGCCAGTGCAAACACATGTACATACGCAGCATTCACATGGAGAACTAGAGACTCTTATACTTTTACACAAAGCTGTAAAATTTTTTATTTTTACTTGGAAACATCCAAGAAAGATTAGGTTAGCATGAAAGCACACACACACACAAAAGTGAAATTTTAAGAAGTTTTTCTTTGTTCCATTTCCCAGATTGCTCCAGTTTGTAAAGGCCACTCTTTCCTGGAGACAAATGAAATCTGTAACGCACTAACCAACTGGCTGCCCATAATTGCTTCCCAAGTACATATGCTACCTGTGAGCATATCAGGATTGGACGCAATATGTTCCTATGATTTCATAGTGTGAGTGATAACTCCACAGCCCTCCCTTGGGGTTTTGTTTTGTTTTTTTTAATGAGAAATATCTTTCCCTCCAAACTGCCCGTAGGCAGACTGCTGTCAGAAATAGAATCTACTTTACGGAACATATAATCCACAATGCTAAATAAGAGTTTGCACATATGTATGCACGACATATATATCATTACTCCCGTTTTTGTTTTTGTTTTTCTCATGAGGAAACTGAGACTTGAAGAGGTTAAGGAGCTTTGCCAGGGCCACAGGGTCAGTAAATGACAAAGACTCAACCCTAAGTCTGATTCTTGGGCCTCTGTTTAGGGAGCACAGGGTTAAGCAGAAAAATCAATTCTGGGGGGTGTATTTTACAAGATAAATGATGTGTGAGGTTGACAAACCTTTTTTTGTCGGGGGGGGGGGTCGCTTGCCTTCTGACACGGAATTTACTGCATTTCCTGGAGCCCCATCCCCTGGAGCCCTCACAGAGGCTCTGCTCTTTGGTCTCTTTGTCTTTTTCTTTCTTCTTCTCTCTCTTTCTTTAAAATTTTTTTTTTCTTTTCATTTCTGTGAGGCTCCTGAATGCTGAGCCCCGCTGGCTATCAGAGGCGGGCGCTGTACCTTGTGGGCCCGTCCCTTGTGTAGCAGCCACAAAAGTTGGGGCAGTAGATGTGTGATCCAAACCCTTTGCCCTTCGGGGAGAGTCTGGGAGTTTGGGGTTCCCTCCTGATTGTAAGGTGATGTGCTTGGGGTGGGGTTTATGGCAAAAGTGTGTTTCAGCCTTTCCTGCCAATTTTGATGCATTTCCTCAATCATTACTGTGCAGGGTATGCTGAGGGTAGGAGTCACTCAGCTGATTCTGGATGTCACTCAGATGGAACTGACTCATGTGTAGCTGTGTGTTTGGTGTGTCCGAAAAACAGGCTCTGATTAACATGTGTCACCTGTATCGCATTTGCATGCCCTACCATTACATTACCCCATAATTGGACTAATTCTTGTTTTTATTCTCCTTGAAAATCAAATGGATTGTCCATCTCTGACCTTGGTTGACATTTCCCTCAACATCACATAACCAGGAGATTTTGTGGGACATCAATTCCTGTAATTTGGGCCAGAGTATATCTACCAAAAGTTATACCGCTTATTTCAGATAAGAGGTAAATAATGGTGGACGGAACCATTCAATTGAAGTGCAACTCCAAATTAGCATAGACATTTTTGTGTGATTTTATAAAGCTAATTGTAAACATATAGTCACATTCTTCCATAAACTATATGAAAATTTTCAAATGGCCCCCCTATTATGTATTCATGTGCTATATTAAAATATTATTTAGTCCATTCAGTGACATTTTAATGATTATTTGACAACTACTTAATATTGGAAACATTATAAATAATTATGTACCTAGAATCCGACATACTCTAAATGGCCTTCTATTTGAAAACAGCAAGCATACTCTAAAATAATACCATTTCTTCTTAAACATACATCATTTCAAAACAAGCAGCATAGCCCAACGCTTTGAAGGAATTGCCAGTACCTGTTCTCCACATACGTCCTCGTGTACACAACAGTATCCTGCGGCCCCGCAGGCCTGGGGTCAGCGTTGGAGCTGGGGAAAAACCATTTTATTTTATGCTTAGAGTTTGTTTACGAGAATAATTAAAATAACGAGGCTATGATTCAATCCAATGCAAAAATGCTATGTTACTTCTAAACTATAGCCTTTGAAATACAAACATTAAAGTGATATTAACTAATTTCTGCATAATTTTCTTAGGACTCTCATTTCGTCCCTACCTACAGCTGGACTGGCCCATTTCGAGAATGCCATTATAAAACGTGGCCACTCACTAAATCTGTTGCAAAGCAAGAGGATGACTCTGAATATTTGTGTGATATGTGTTAGGGTCTGTTTCCTCGATGTCCCATTCACATTTCCCGACCATCCTGGCCCCACAAGACTCCAACCAAAATGGACCGTAACTAACATAACATCTGATTGAATGAAACTTTTAAAACTTCCTAAAGAATGTCCATGCCAATGTCACAGTAATTTTTAAAAAATATACAGGCTTTTTAAGGGAAAATCAAATTTTACACTTTCTTGTCTAGATGTCACAGCTAACCAATGACCAAGTTGCTAACTTAACACCGTTTGTGTAAGCCTGTTCAGCCACTAATAAAATGAGAAATCTCTGCATTTCAAAACAAGGGTCAGGTTGTTTCAGGTTGTATATATAAAGTTTATTAAAAACAGAAGGAGAAAAGCCCTCTCATTTGTTTTGTAAGAGACCACGGTACTACCTGAAATTCCTCCTGGCTTCGAAAGAATGGGCAGCGTTTCTGGCGGACTGATTGTTTAGAGCACCGGTGGGTCCATTGACTTGGCCATCTTGCCTGAGAAAGCGAACAAATATTTGGCACTTAAAATCAAAGCCACTTAGAATTTTTTTATTTTATTAAAATTCTGTTCCAGTAACATGAGCCTCTCTATGTACGTCTGGTTTCTCCACAGATATGCACAGAGAGTGCGTGAGCTATTTTCCTTCCTCACAGCGGCCACTGCCATCCCCTCAGACTCATCTTTAGTCACGCAACACATTATCTAACGCTGGGGTAGATTTTTTATTAAGGGCAGGAACCGTCTGAAATTGGTTCCAGTTCCATTTTCACAGCAGCAGTGCCATTTTAGAAAGCTTTTCATGTATAGTATATCTGGGAGTTTATCAATTTAATGAAAATTATCCAGGGGTTGCTTGGAGAAATTCCAGTTTTCATTTCATTTTTAATGGGAAGCAATACTTTGAAGATTGCAGAAGAACTTTGACCTAGATTTCTGCTACTCCCAAAACGTCACTATGCTTAACAAAGTATAGGGATATTTGCTTTTTCCTAGAAACAGAAAATTTCTAATGCAGGACTAACAAAAGCTTTAGCTCCTTTTCCTCTTTCATGTTAGTAAACTCTAATATGGAAGACACATGAAAACCAAAAGGAAAATTTAGATCTTAATCATGCCTTATCATTGGTAAATGGGCTGTTCCTCCTATTTCCAAAAAGCCCTTAAAGGAGAGGAAAATAATTATTCACATACTATCATCTCTGGCATATGGAAGATCATCTTCTAGTTTTAAGACAGATGCTTCACAGAACATACATGATACTAACTAATGAGAATGAAAATGATACTAAGTAATGAGAAAGTAGAATTAATATCATTAGAAAGTTTTCTAATGTGATTATTAAAATATGTCATTCCAGCAATAATAAACCTAGCTAGGAGTTGTTTGGAAATATTCAAGTAAAGATATGTATAATACAAAATCCAATTTTAAGAAATAATTTTAAAGGACAGTTTGTCAGTGAGTTTGAAATGTGTTTGCATGGTCCTTAACAACATAAAATCAAATAACACTTGTTTGTAAAAACTGCAGATAGAAGAGAAAAATAATTTGCAAATAGTAATGTTATGAACTGAACTGTATCCCCCAAATTCAAATGTGGAAGCCCTAACCCCCAGTGTGATTTGGAGACAGGGCCTATATGGAGACAATAAAGGTCAGGTGAGGTCCTAAGGGTAGATGGAGCCTTAAACCCATGGGACTGGTGTCCCTACAAGAAGAGGAAGAGACGTCAGACATCTCCTGCTATGTGTGTGCGTATACGGAGGGAAGGCCGCCCAAGGACACAAGGGGAAGGTGGCCATCTGCAAGCCAAGAGGTGAGGCTTCACCAGAACCCAACCCTGCCAGCACCTTGATCATGGACTTCAGCCTCCAGAACTGTGAGAAAATAAATTTCTGTGGTTTACATCACCCAGTCTGGGGTATTTTGCTATAGTAGCCTGACCAGACTAATAAAAGTAGCATTTCTTAGTTGGGTTTATGAGATTAATGACAATGTCTTCATGAAAGATTTAATTGTTATAATTATGAATAAAAACCAAATGTTAATAAATAAATTCGAAATGAAGAACAACAAACTGATGGATTTTGCTTCTCAACTAGGCTAGGGAGAGGACAGATTTTTTAAAGTGGACTTCTTATTTTGGAATAATTTTAAATGTATAGAAAAACTACACAGATGGTACTAGGAATCCCCAAGTAGCCCCCACCCGGCTTCTCCTAGTGCTAATGTCTTACATACCCGTGGTACATTTGGCAAAACTGAGGAATTAACATCGGTACAATAATTTAACTAAACTCTGGAGTTTATTCGTATTTCATTCATTTTCCCATTGACGTCCTTTCTCACTTCCAGAATCCAAATCGGGATGCCACTTCCACGTAATCATCGTGTGATAGTTTCCAAGCATGTTTTTTCCCATGAGATGGTGATAGATTTTACAAAGGAAATTCTATCTTGATGCCATTAAGTGGTAACACTATTTTTTTTTTAATTATTCAGAACCATGATAATAGCTAGACAATACTAGGACAACCCATGAAATAACCTGTAGTGCTTTTTAAGACGTTACTGATCTAATTAGTTTGAGGAACAGTGTGGACACTGGGATTCCTCTAAACCTCTCCAGCGAGTCTGACATGCATGTCGAAGTTGAGAAGCACCATCCTAGATGTCGGGCATTCTGACATCTCCCTCAAATGGTACAGGTTCTCCCAGCGTGGTCCCTGGACCAGTGGGTGATGCTCATGTTCACTGAAGTCTGGGAGCCAGTGCAATGGGGGATCTCTGCCAAATCATCCCTCTCAAAGGCCTTGAATAATGTTCATAAAAGAGAACTCACGACTCACAATGCTTTTCCCTTGACAGCTTTATTGTTAAGTTATCCTTCACTGAAACAAATTGAGGAATTGTACGTTCTCATTAGTGGGTCATAGTTTTGTTTCTTAATTAAATAACAACTCTATAAAATATAAACCCAAACATTGTGTTGGGTCTCACAGACTCCAAATGGAATTACACTTGAGAAAATGTTTCCTGCAGTGGAATCTCAGCTTGAAAATTTACCTATCTGGCAACCCTCATACACCGTTAATGAGAATATCAAATGGTACTGCTGATTTGGTAAATAGTCTGTCAGTTCTTCAAATTGCTAAATACAGAGTTTCTATACAATCCAGCAATCCTACTCCTAGGTATATACCCAAGATAAATGAAAGGACACTTATATAGAAAAACTTATATACATATGTTTATAGCAGCATTGTCCACAATAGTGAATTACAGTCCAATAGTAGAAACAACTCAAATGTCCTTTTGATGAATACATAAACAAAATGCTGTATACACATACAGTGGAATATTATTTGGCAATAAAAAGAAATGAAATACTAGTACACTAGTACAATATGGATGTATCTTGGAAAACATTATGTTAAGTAAAAGAGGCCCATCGCAAAGGACCACATACTGTATGATTCCATTTGTATGAAATACCCAGCAGGCATCAATTCATGGAGATAGAAAGTAGATTAGCAGCTTCCTGGGCTCAGGGGTTGTATCATATGTGTCCTATGAGGGGTTAATATATGTGTACTTCTAGAAAACTGTGAGGTTTACATATGTTAAGTATATAAAAATAACTACTGTAGAAAAATATACAGAGAGCTTGATGCCAAAACACTTCGGTTCATTCCACAGCTCTAATTTACTAACCTGGCCATTTCTTTTACTCTTTGATCTTCAGTTTTTTCTGTTACTCATTTTGAGAGTCAAGTGAACTTTCCTTTCTGTAGTCAGAATACATAGGTATAAGAATTGAGGCCAAATACTGTGTGTGAGAAATGGAAGCCATCATACTGTGTGGTGTAAAAACATTTCACAATTAGTTCCTATTTTGTGACTGTGATGAACCTGTGTGTCATTTTAGCACTAGGCATCCAAGGAAGATATTCTCAGGCTGCTTTCTGCACCACTGAAAACATACCAAGCAACAGTCGGTAAAAATAAGTCTTCACAGAACAAGTGCAGAAATTTGAATTTCCATGATGTCTTTTACACTAAGCAATAGAAAAGCAGGCTTTTAGTGAGAAATTTTAACAGAATTTGAATTTGTTAAGTTTCTTCTATATCAGCTATTTAAACGCCCCGTACATTGGGATTTTTTTTTATTGAGATAGTATTTATATTTAAATACCACACTGTAGTTTAATTCCTCAGAAAATACTCCAAGTTTACATAATTTATGCAGGCTTATATGGAATCCATAAAATGAAAGTAAATTATAATAAGCCTTACCTTCCATTCTTATTTTTAGACACATTAGAATTTACTTCAATTACATTTTCCAGGTCCTGGTGTCTATAGGAAAAAAATAAAAATTACATATGTGTACTTTTAGTTATGATATTATTTTAGGAAATTAAAAAAGAATAGAATAAAAACTTTAAAATCAGTACCTAATCTTGGACATAGGCATTGTGGTATAAGGAAATGGGTCACTGAAAATCAGACATTGAGCTACTGATCTACTCAGCTGAAGCATGAGAGCATGATGTTGAGAGAGAAAGAACTAATTTTTGGAAGGTTTGAGAAATCTGGTCTGAAAGAAACCATTAATATTCACATTCAGCTAATACTCAGTGAGTGCTACTTTGTGTCACAAAGTACTAATTGTGTGTTTCCATGGGGATTATCTCATTCAGATCTCACAAAATCTTGCAGGACGGCATCTGGGGCTCAGAAAAGCTAAGTGAATTTTCCAAGGTCAATTAACTAATTTGTAAGAGAGTCAAGATTTGAGGCTGAGCCACCTGTCCATCTGAAATCAGTTCTTGGATATTTAATTAGAGATTTCATTCCAGCTTTTTGGATTACAGAAACATGAAAAAAATCAACCCAAAATTTGAATTAATAATTCATAATGTAAAGGATAAATGGGACAATTAGATTCTTAAATCTTGGGCTATGTTTATGACTTGACACCCTTTCATAAGATACAATAAATATCCTCTGGTATGTTGTTTATATATTAGTTATTTACAGCATATCTTTGCTATAACACTGGTAGTTCTTGATTTTTTTTCATGAGTTTGGAAAAAAGACTGTCATGAACCATGTTGGCTAGGAGCATGTTTAACAGTCAGAATGAGGCTATCTATTCCCTTACTTTCCTTGGGCAAGTTTGACAACATTTCTAAGCTTCCTTTTGTAAACAAGGATATTAATATCTAAATGTATAAGTTTTCAGTGAGAATAAATGACTTTATGTCAATAAGTTTTGTGGACACAATGACTACAATTGTAGGTGGACTGGATAAGCATAAATAAATCGTAGTTAATAGAAGTGTAGTGATATCGCAGAGGGCGTTATTGACTCCAAAGTTTTGAGGGGCTACCATTTCATTTTTCTTTCTGCCCTAACTTTTCACATCTTTAGAATTAACTTCAGTTTTTCTAAATCTCCTTTCTGAGCCTGAATAGTAGGTTTAAATAAGGTTCTTTTTACATAGAACCAATGTAGGACCTCTCACTCACAAAATTAGTATTGATAAGGATGAAAAATAATATTAAAAATTCTCTTATGTGTGGAATAAGATTTAGTATTCTTTTTTATAACATTTAAATCTCTGATAGTTGCTAAGTCTGCAAGTAGTCAGCATTCTAGTGCTAACCTTGGATGGATGGAGTGCCATTTTTTCAAAACCACTTGAGAGTAGAGACACATGACCATGTCTTACCATCACCCTGCACATAGTAATTGCTCCAAAAAATACTTGTGGAAATTAAACTAAATTAATTTAAATTATCCTTTTCTCCTTCTCTGGGGGAAATTTATTATTATCTTACCTAGCTCTGGGAAAGACATCAAAGGAGCCCTAAGGGAAAAATATTAGATCCTGAACCTTTAGTCAGTTAGCTCCACCCACATATGGGCACGCAGTGTGCACCATGACCACAGAGAAAAGGCCAGTGATGGACATTTCACTTCCACTTGTGTCACCCGCCCAGAACCTGATGTACTTCATCCTTGACTTGAACACATTTCTTTCCTTTTTTTGAATGTTGTTAGAAGTTGAATTGTGCCTCCCACCTACCACTACCACCACATTCATATGTTGAAGTCCTAATGACATGTGTCAGTATGTGACTTTATTTGGAGATAGGGTCTTTACAGAGATAATCAAGGCCAAATGTGGTATTAGGATGGGCCCTAATCCAATGTGACTGGTATCCTTGTAAGAAGAGCAAGTTTAGACTCAGACACATACAGGTGGAAGACAAAGTGAAGACACAGGGTGAAGACAGCCCTCTACAAGCCAAGGAGAGAGCTCTATAACAGATCCCTTCCTCACGGCTTTCACAAGGAACCTACTCTACTCACATCTTGATCTTGGACTTCTAACCTCCAGAACTGGGAGAAAATAAACTTCCGCTTTAAGCCACCTAGTCTGTGGCTCTGGTTACAGCAGCCCTAGCAAACTAATATAGATCTGCTTCTGCCCTCACAACATGATTACGTTTAGTTTCTCGGCTTGATGGTGGACATCCTCACTTCTTCTGACATTTTTCAAGCCTGGCTGCTGCATCTTTGCTCTGTCTATTCCTACCCCCTCAACTGCCGCTTCCCTGATTCTTCCCCCTGCCCCAGGCTTTTTGGATTCTAGCTATGGTGAAGGAGAATAGAAAATGGTTTGAACTTGAGGAGAGAGAAGAAATGGCGCTCTTACACATGTAACAACTACATAGGTAGATAACTCAAAATTGGAACCTATGCATGCCTTCAAAGATGCACACTCCCAAAGTGGTCTAAGAGCAAATCATCAGATAAACCATATTATTGGTGGTTTCATAGAATTTTTGTTGTTTTTAATAAATAGTGTCACATAATCAACTTTTGTAGGTCGGATTATAAGATTTAATTCTGCATAGTCTTTAGTAATATTTAAAGCAAAATAAAAAGTTCCAGATTATGCAAAGAACAAAATGTATATTTGCTTTGGTTGTTCACTCTGACTAATGTCATGAGCACTTGAAGATCCAATAAAAAGAAGTTCAGATTGCCCATAAACTTCCCAAGCTGAAGGATGTAAAATAAATTTCAGTTTTTAATTAAGACCACATCTATTGCATCATATCTTTTACACTGTAGTAGAAGATGAAGAGCTGTGAGTCAAAGTGTGAAAAGAGATTTTAATAGAAGCCCAGCCAAATGCTTCAGGGTGGAGCAAAGGCTTGATTCCAAACCCTTCCTGTGGCAGTTGCAGTGGAAGGAAGACTTTATAATTTTATAGTTTATGAGCAGCTGGAATTAATGCTAAGAAAAATCATCATTTCTCTGTGGATACATGAGAAATGCTAAAAAGAAATTTTGTTAACCATGGCAACTAAAATGCTTTTCTTTATGTAGATTTTAAAATGTTTGGGAGAAAATATGAGATGTGCATAGGGTCATAGAACGCATTTGAATATAAGCATTTATCTGTGTTGTCATGTAATTTATTTTTTACTGTCTCTTTAAGGAATACAACACTGCTTTACAGAGCAGATTAAGGGAAAATATAGAAATTTTTTTGGACCAAGGTATTATTGTCTCTTTTTTAAATTAAATTTATTGGGGTGATATTAGTTAATAACATAAGTTTCAAGTGTACAATTCTATAATTCATCATCTGTATATTGCATTGTGTATTCACTATCCAAAGTCTATTCTCCTTGAGTCACCACATATTTGACTCCCTTTAATTATTGTCATTATATGACTTTTCCTAGGATAAGCATTGTATGAAAGAAAGTTACCAGCTTACTCCCAACTGTTCTTCATCTCTCATGAAGGTGTGGGAGGTATTTATTAAAAGCCTCAATATGTTCTCACTACAGCTTACTTAAATTGCTTCTGCATAGTATCAAGCACATTTGCAAAATTAAGAGTGTCCATATAAAAATTTTACTATCATACTTCTTTTATGCCAAGAACAAAATCTTGGCTTTAACTTTAGTTCAAAAGGAGTATGTGTCTTTGAAAGGAGTGCAGAGTACAGGGAGGTAACTAATTATTCAGCCTATTGACATAGCCGAGTGGGCCCAGCTTATATTTATTTATAATCCTTTTCAATGAGGATGTCTTAAAGACTATATATTGAAGAAATGAACAGGTCCATAAGGAAGTTGAAAAATTTAGGTATTTTAAATATAAGATGTGACCAAGAATGTTAATGGCTCTACTTCGCCATGGTTCACTGAGATTTTGCCATGAGCAGTAGACAGTCGTTGGCTCAAGGAGACTACTCTGGAGACAGCCGATTTCTGCATTTTGGTTTCATTTAAGGGTCTCAGAACGTTAGAGCTGGAAAGCAATAGACTTTATCTAGGTGGACTATTATAGGGCCTTGATTAGTTTAAAATATAGCCTTTAATTCAGAGTACTTATTAAGCCTTTAATATAAGCCACTCATAGTGCTTTGCACTGAAGATAAAGAAGTGAACAAGACATTAAAAATCCTGTAGTAAAAGAGATAATTAAATAATCATTCCCTCTAAGAGACAAATGCTATGGGACAGAAAGCGTAGAAAACTTGAGAACAATTTAGAAGGACCTGATGCAGATGTGGTAGGTGGGGTGGGGGTGGGGCTTTCCAAAGCCTGAGAAACAGATGCTCAGCTTGAGACCTAATGGATGAGTAGAAGTTACCCACACAACAGCGAGGAAGGAGGTGGGAGGAGTGGGCCTAAGTTGGGGTGTGTCTGTAGAATCTAATAGAGGATGTGGTGAGAAGGCCTGTGGAGGTAGGATTGGGGGGGCATGGGTTTTGGAACCAGGTCAAGGAGTACGGCTGTCATCCAGTGGCAATGAGAAGGTGCCGAAGGGTTTCATCAAGAGGATGATGGGATCAGACTGGTGTTTTAGAAAGACCGCACTACAGTGTGGTAAAAGGAATGGAGGATAGAAGGTACAACAGGCAGGGAAGATAGAAGGTAAGACAGGCAGCAGAGGAAGGAAGTTAGGCGTCTGCCCAGTAATCTAGACTCTAGTCGTAGTGGCGATGATGAAGTGTCTCAGTTCCTGAGGTACTTAGAAGAATACAAAGTGACCTATTGATTATGGGAGATGAAGCAATGGAAAGAATCAATGTCACCCTCTCCCCCACCCTCAAGCTTTCTGCCTGGAACAGAAATATTTTTAAAAATGCAACAGGAAGGGACTCATTGAAATAGTAAAAACTTGGAGATATGTTGCAGCAAATAGGAAACCCTTCAAAAGCTGGAAGCATTCAATGTAATACTACCAATAGTTCAGAGGTTTTATTTTATTTTATTTTTTCTATTTCAGATGCAGAATGCTTTTTTAAATGCAAAGGCTTAAATGTCACTAGATGCTTTTCAACCTTCATTTGGGAGCAGCAGTTTATAGGCTACAAATAATTGAATCTCTCTCTTTAATATCTCTTAGTTCATGAAGATCTGAAACTGTCACTGCTGAAAGGCAGGCAGTTTCTCCCTGAATAAATGAAAATTCCATGCACATCTGCATTTGTTCAGGTTGTTGTGTTCCTAGAAGGAGCCCAGGGACACCTGCTCACATTCTGATCCATGACTTAAGTTTATGCCGCCCCCTAATTCTGAATTAAATATACAGCTGTTAGAAACGTCAGCAAAATCACATAAAAGCGCTCTGATTCACTGCTGTTACACTATTAAATAATCAGTGTTCATGTCACATTGAATTGGATGTAAAAGTTCCTTGTGGCTGTTATTCCCACTGAGAGGCCCTTTAAAATACCCTTCTCTTTACCCACTAAAATCAAGCAGTCAGCGTAGATACACTATGGATATAGGTGGCTGAACCAATTGAATGAAGTCACGTTTTTTCAAATAGGCAGCTTAGCCTTTCTTGCTTGCCTGTTCTGGGATAATGCTTGAACATCTGGGCAGATTATTGTCAAATCTGATGCAAATACTGAAGAATCATCAGATATCACTTAGATTACATTTGTGGATCAAGGTGCCATCTAAAACAACCTCATGGCCAATATTTTAAAAAAAATTTTAAAGAGAAATCCCATCTGTATAAGGAGAATGTCCTCTTTTTATAGATATTTTATTAGGAGCTGCTGAAATGCAAAGAGTATTTTTATGAAATTAGCTTCTAATAATCTTCTAATAAACAAAAGGCAAAGCTCTTATGAGAAAGTTACCATTGTCTGTCAACACAGTACACTCGCTAAAGGGAGGGAGGGAACGAGTAGAAAGTTGGACGGAGCGGGTGAGGGAGAGCTGGGGAGGGAGGGGGAGATAGAGACAAAGAGGGCATGTTATGGGACTGTCCACTAAGGGAAGAGTTTGCTACAGTAGCCACATGCGATTATCAAACCTAATCACTCCCAACGTGGCTGGGAGCCTCCATGTTACTAATAAAGAAAATCTGCCTCAACCAGCTCACTATGAAGAAACGGTTCTACTTAACAAAGATATTTCCATGCAATTACCAATGGCAGGGATGACACCCAAAGTCTGCTGGTATTTCAGCTATTAGAAAACCTCTGTGAGACAAGTATTTTCTCTCCTCCCTCTCATTTTAACAATAATTTTCTGGAATCAATGTTTCTAATTGTAGTCCTTTAACTGAAGAGGAAGGAGAGGGATTGGAAGGGAAAGGATTGTAAAGAGTATGAAGAATTAAAAGAAAAGGAAAGTCTGAGCTGTTTTAGCCACAGAACCTCTGTTTTTCTTGTAGGTAGTGACACCAGAATGGCTTGAGTTTAAATCCAGGGTGTGTTTTCTTTCTTGAAAAGGTTATTTCATATCTTTGAGCTATAGTTTCCTCTTTTAAAAAGTTGGATGGATGAATATATTTATCATGGGGTTGTCATGAAGATTAAATGTATATGAATTGCCAATCACATCATAGGTGCTTAATAAATGCTGTTCTCCAAGTGACAACTGCCTTTGTACCTTCCTGCTTCAGAAACCCCAAAACATGAGAAAAACATACAAACAGAGGAAGTAAAATAAGGCATTGCTGTAGAAAATAATTGGAGACATAAGAGCTAAATCAGTGACTATATGCCCTGTCCTCTTTTTCCCAGTGGATTTGAAGCACTTTTCTATGTTAATTTGCTTTCTTTACCACAGGATATTGAGACTATGATTCCTATCTATATATTTCTCATGATAAAATTTCAAGTCAGTAGACCAATTTGGATTTCTAATGAAATGCACTCCGGTGCACTATTAACTATTAATAAAGCCTTTAAGTGAGTGGTATGACACAAAGATAGTGCATTATAAGATATTTCCCAAACTGAAATGGAAGTCCAATGCTAAAACATGCTGTCATTTTTTTGTGAGCCTAGACTAGCTATTGATCTGTAATTTTGAAAATCTTGAATCTCCTTTCCAATCTCTATAGGTATTTATGTAAATCTTAAGTTTGGTTCAGCTTCTCCAAACTATCTTTTCTTATTTAATTTCACTCATTTTTCATTTCAGTCCAGACACTCTATTTTCTAAAGACAATAAACACTAAGTTGTTTTAGTGTAAATACAAAGTACAGAACTGAGTCTAAAATCAAACAATTGATTCCAGAAGAGTGCAACATGTTTCCTAGCTGAACAGGAGACACGTGGGTTACAAATGTGCACCCACTTGACACTAATGAATAATCAAAGACCTCAAGAAAGGAAAGGAGAAGAAAAGGAAAGAGAAAAGAAAGAAAATGCCTAAGCTAGAACCTTGAGAACATGTCAAGATAGTTAGGCAAAGTCACTTAACCGTTCTGTGTTCCTGAGAGCTGAAGGTTTCACTTTTATAAGCTTGTCCAAGTCTTGGCTATTCAAAGAGAAGAAAATAAGTTCGGATTAGTGATAGGATTTTTGGTGGTGCTAGTTCAACAAAGAAACATTATAAACCCACTCCACCCAGGGACAACAGACAGATGAAAACATGAAATGACTGCTTTTATGTGGTTACCTCTGATTGCTTCTGATCGCTGCAGGGTTCACTTTGATGAGGTTATCGAGATCCTGGTTTCTTTAAATAGAAAAATAAATAGGTTGCCGATTAATTATAAGGTTCTTTTGATAATATTATTCCAGTTATAAATCTTCTTAGAGTACTAATAAAACAAAGTAGTCTTCCTGACTAAAGCACAAAAATTAACAGAGTTCTATTACCGTCGGTTGTTGGTGAGAGTTTCAGGATTCACTTTGATGAGCTTGTCAAGATCTTGATTCCTTTAAGTGGAAAAAAATTAAAACAGCTAGGTTAGCGATAAGAAGGGTTTAAGTTGGTTGAAAATAGGAAGGATCGGCTATCTTATCATTTAGTTTGAGCTGTACTGATTTTGCATAGAATATCCTTGAAAAAAGGTTTTTACCAATCCAGGGGAGGGTGAACGATGGTGAATCGGAAGGAGAATCCTCTGATTTCACATGCTGTGCTGTCAGAGCACATTACCAGCTCTCACTGATTAATTGTTCACAGCAAAAGTTGTGATTAAGAACTCTTCACTCTGAAATGTTTTAACTTGATGAAGATACAAACTGATTCTAATATCCTTGTTGTTTTAAAAATGATATTCACTAACTAAATATAGTTAATAATAAGTTCTAAAATTGGGATTACACTTAACATATGGTTTGGCAAAAGTGAGTTCCAGCCATCCATCAAAATTTAGTTTTCTTCCCTCTTTGATGACTGAAAAGCCAAATTAAACTCAGTTGTTCATGGTCAATTTAGTTACATACTCTGAAAATGTCTGGTTCCTATTTGAAGTCTTACCAGTATCTTTTCCCAGTCACAGAACAATGTTTCCTTTTACATGCTTTGCTATCATTCACTGCCTCAGTATACGGCCTTATTTTAAGGGCTGGGAAGTTGTGATTTCTCCAAGTGTTCCTCTAAACCCCATTTTAATATTTATTCAAAGAAATACAATAGCCTCCCATGTCAAGAAATCACAGGACAAATAACATCTGCTTCTAGTGCCGTCTTGGACAGCAACCTGCCTGTACCATGTTCCCTCCCACAACCCTTTTTAATCATATAAAAATAAAATATCTTTTACTCGTTAAAAACATTGACGCAAGGTTAGAAACCGAAGGAGACCTACTTAGAAGTTAATCATGAAAAAAGTCTGAGAAAGGTCTGCATTTCCCTCCCGCAGCCCGAACCCTTTCGGTAGGATGTGCTTCCCACCCAGCCCACGGATTCTCTCAGTGTGATCCCTTCGTCATCTTTCTCAGGTCCCTGCGGTAGACAGATGGCCCCTCACTGAATTTCCACTGTTTGACTTGTCTTGAGTAGTAATATTCTCAAAGATAATCAACTGGTATCTACAAATACTGTTAAAAGAATGACTAGCCCTGGCTGGTGTGGCTCAGTTGGCTGGGTGTCGTTCGGCAAAGCAAACGGCTGTCAGTTCGCTTCTCAGTCAGGGCACAGGCCTGGGTTTCAGGTTTGTCCCCAGCTGGGGTGTGCACGGGTGGCAACCCGATCGATGTTTCTCGCACATTGATGTTTCCCTCCTTCTCTTTCTCCCTTCCTTCCCCTCTCTGTATAAATAAATAAAATCTTTTTTTTAAAGGATGATTAATATATGAACACTATCCAAAATATAATTTCCTTACATAAATTGATTGCAAAACCTGTCATAAAGCTAACCTGTGCCTGAAAGATAGCAATCTTTAAAATTAGGTTAATTTCACATATTAGAAGAAAAAATACAAACAATGAAACTTGTTCATTGTTCATGTTCAAAAGCCACAATCTTTCAAAATATAAAATTAACCACAAACATGACAACTTCCATTTTAACTGTTCTGCTGAACATAGAAAATTTGATTTATCCAACTATCTAGAACAATGATATTTAAACAATTGTTTTATAAATCCTATTAACAAATATAATTTACACCACAGCCCAATACTCTTTTTTTCATACAGACACATATACACACACAATAAAACATAACCTTCATGAAGTAATACCCTTGCAACATAAGAAAAACGTTCATTTTCTACTCTATTTAATCCATTTTATTTAACTGGGAAAAATACCACTCACTAAATTAATTACAAAATACTTTGATGGACTGCAACCCGCAGTTTGAGAAACACTGACTTGGAAAACATAAGTGTATGCTATGTTCTATCACTAGTTCCAAAAAGACAACACGTGTGTTATTAAACAGGGATCTCAGTAACAGTCCTGAATTGCCTTGATTGAGAGCATCATGCAACTCATCTCAATAAATTGAAAACAACAAATTTACAGATTTTTCTTTTTGGTCCCTGGGTCCCTACAAACACAGGTCCCTTACATCTACATTTTATCTGGGAAAACATAACATATTTTCTACTTAAGTTACGGCTTGCATTTATTTTGCTTTACGGGATACATTAGAATATTTAGGTATTATTATTTCCATGTAGTTTAAAAGCTGTAAAATGTACATTTGTGCCATTGTCATCTATGAAGTGATCATTCAAGTGACCCTATAAAGCAAAGAAAGACACCTTTGGCTGTCCCATGGCAAGAGCAACAATCCTAGCTTTAGAGCCCCCTCTATGTCCCCGAGGTTCTCAATTAACTTTCACTTATTTTAAGACTAAAGTCTGCACGCTGAGGTTTGAAGAATGGGAACTGAGCTGGGAGTTAGGCTGGAAATTAGAAGAATTCACAGAAGACAGATTTTTGCCCCTGGCCTCAGTACTCTCATCCGTAAAATGAGGACATTGGATTGGATCATCTCTAAGGCTCTTCCTATCTCTAACATCTATTCCTAAGAATCCATGAATCTGAAATTTACGGCTTGTCATGTTCATTAAACTACCTAGTCAATGCCTCTTTTTCTTTTAAATGCAACATCCTAACAATCCAGTCCATATCCAGCAAGCAGCACATGAGTATTCCAAAATGTAATATATTAAATTGACAACCTATTATTGTCTTGGAATAACATCTCTGTGCCCCTGGTACATAATTAGCTTTAATCTATGATAATTGCCATCTGTTAATAGGATTCAGTTTGTCTGCTGAATTCTCTTTTTGGCATCCACAGTCTCTAATTATATCTAGTGTGCTACTCATGATACCTACTTGTACTCTTCAAGCCCAGTAGGTGCTCAGCAATTATTCACTGCCTAACAGATCACAGAACTACTATCAGTCTTCCACGAGTTTTTATCTGTGATCCTGGTCAAATAAACTAACCTTCCTGAATTCCTCTTCTGTAAATTGACTAGGTTCAGCTGAAACCAAGATTTTCAAATTGTTCAAACCAACTGGCCTATGAGTTTCCTGAGGTTCCTTCATTCCACCTCTAAAATTTTGCAATTTTTATGTGTTTTTATCAAGACAAAAAATTATGAAACCATTGTCTATATATATAATATATAAAATAGTAGTATATAATAATATAAAAATCTTCATGTAATCAGACACAAAAAGTGAATTTCATTATCGTACAGATATTACTTAAAGAATTATCAAAATTTAGGTCTATAACTTTGCTGGGAGCAGCAAACTATCTAAAAAACACTGAACCTCATAAAATTTTCACTAACTACCCGAAAATTCTCTTCAAAAATAAGGTGAATGATATTTGCTGGTGAATCTAAGGAAATGTCTAGACCTTTTAAAAATTATTATTAATAATTTTAGTCAATTTGAGAGACAAAGGTATTTATGGCAGTTCTACAAAACAAACAGCACATAGACTAGTTACGTTCCTACCACAGTCACTCTCTTCAATTGCTTTACCTGAGGCTGAAAAAAGTGAAGCCACCACCATGCATTTTTTTCAGCTGTCTTTCTTTCTTGTTATTAACAAATAGATCATCTAAATTTCCAGGGACGTATACAAATTGTGCTGCTTTTAAAAGATTTATATTGAATTTGTAAATAGAATGATTCTGTCATTTATACTCATATTGTGCTCAGTTAAAAAGAAACAGACATCCCACACCCCATACCTCCAAAAACAAGAAAAAAAGAAAGAAAAACATCTTTCTCTTACCCAGCCATGTTTTTGACAGCTTTGCAGTTTGGATTAATAAGTTCATCAAGACCTTGTTCACTGCTAAAACAAAATAAAATAAAAGGTCAAATTCAGCTGGAAATCAGTAAATTTCATAACTGGCATTTTTTTCTTTTGACACTTGAATCAGTCAATGAAATCCTGGATAAAAAATGATAAATTTATTGTTTCTACTTTATATACACTAGTTATTTGTTTAAAATCCTCAAAACAACCTAATAAAGATGTATACTAGCATCCCTCCCCACCCCCCACCCCTCTTAATAAAAAAAGAAATTGAACTTCAGAGAAGACACTCCTTGGGGCCAGGTACCTAGGAAGTGACCAAGAGTGAGCCAGGGTTGAAACCATGGCAACTGGATCCCAAACCCCATGCTCCTTCCTCTCTCCATTCATAATGATTCCTTACATTTGCAGAGTGCTTTTCACCAACATTATTTATCTTCACAAGAATTGAAAGGTAGCTTGGAGCTGCTCTGGCCTGTTTTTCTTAACTTATGCCCCAGGGTATAATGGGTCTTCTCAAAAAGACAGGACCAAATTCAATGTCAGGCAAAAATATTTTAATCAAGTATAAGAATGTTATGTTGCCAGTTTTCTTAGGAGTCATTTAAAAATTAATTCTTGGGTTTGTAAAGGAGTAGAAAGCCAATGTTCTTTAATTTATTCAGTTTTATAAACTTAATATTTATTAACTAGAAATTTACAGTAACAAGCTAGTTTGCTGTTTCATGTCAAAATGAATTTCTCAAGAAATAATTATACAGAATTAGCCTCAATATTATCACCCTAAACAATATTCTAATGAAATAAGTGGAAACAATACTAAAAGAAAAAATTACACAGTATAATTACATATCAACAAACCAATTTGTTTTCTTTTTTCTCATGTCCCCTTTCAAAATGTCCTCAGACAAACAATCTTATTTTTTCGCATAAATTGGAGACTTGTTCAGGAGTCCTGAATAATCCTATTAAGCTTAACTTTTGTTTGCTGAGGGGATCACTTTGATAAGATTGTTTAGGTCTTGGTGCCTCTAACAATGATGTAAGGTTTATTAGCTGGTAAAACAACTACAATCAACAATTTTTATATTTTTTTCAATCTTAATATTTATTTAAATGATCATTGCTAATTTAAAATTTCATCATTACTTGAATCTCTTTTTCCCCCTAGGGAAAAGCAGATTGCTACTATTAATTCATTTCTTGCATAATTTTGTACATATGAAAATTCATTTTCATTTTATTCTTATTTCTTTAAAGACAACCTTATATTTAAATTACTCATAAATTCCTTACTGTCCATATTGTATTTTTGTAGTAGAATTAGCATTTAGCATTTTTTGGAGGTATTAATGGATAAAAGAAAAATATAAAATTGCTCATCATTTCTGTGTTCCTTATTTCCCTCCCTTTCTTAAAAAAAATAGAGATATTTTCTGATTCTAAGGCATGTAGACTATATACATAACATGAATATGTAATATTGAGACTACTGCAAGATATAAATGAAATCACTTCAGAATCACACTTCATGCAATGCTAAATCAGGACTAGTAAGACTTCAGATTATATAACTTGTTTTTATTCTAAACACTTAACTAGACAACCATAGCTCGAAAGGGACATTTCTAATATTACACTGGGCTCTCATACAAACCCTAATACCAAAAAACCTGAACAAGAAGCCTAACATAATACACTTCATTATGAGGACAATATGTTATATATCTTGAGGAGAAAAATGATCAGAAAGGCTTATATCACTTAACTCGTTTTTAGGATTAATCTCTAAACTCATTTTATCATGTACCTATCCTCCCATGCACACTATGTTGAACTCCATGGAATTGTCATTTGATGGCAATCCCATGCCAAAAATGGCATGGGATTTGATGGCAAAAATGGATGAATGTCAGTAATTTCATAAGTTTCAACATAATAGGAAAATTTCTTTGCTATCTATATCTACTTTGAATTAGTCATCGAGTAGTGCTATAGGGATCCAACAAAGAAGAAAAGTTATAACAGAAACAATAACACCAATAGATAATGCCTGGTAAGTACTTGATCACTGAGTGCTTTATGAACTTGATTTTATCTAATTTTTGTGGTAACTCTTAAGGAAGGTAACTCTTAAAATCCTCACTTTACAGGTAAAGAAACTGAGGCATAAAGGGCATTAAAGCCATTTGTCCAAGACTGCATAGTCAGTAAATATTCTCTTAGCTCAAAAATTTCATTGTCAAGTGGAAGAGATGGACACATGACCTAATGCGATATATGGTAGGATGCAGCTACTAAAATAAAGGCTCAAACACTACACGGGAAAGATCATGTAATTAAGGTCACCCGAAGCTCTAGAAACTAAGTCCTCTTGGAAGACGGACAAGGGAGAGCTATCTTTCACTGAATCTTAATCGGCAATATAAAGTATTACACAGTCTCTAGATTCAGCATCTGACCCTCAGTAAATGACAGTAACATTATATTCTTATTTGATGAAAAAAATCTAAGGACAATTTAGCACTAAATATTCAGATAATAGAATAATGAAATTTTGGGGTAACCCTAAAGTGAATGAAAATATATGCAAAGGGTGAGGATGGGTGGGCAGCTGGCTATGTTTTGGAAGCCATCCCAACTACATTCAGAACTGATTTTTCTCTTCCACTCACATAAAATGCGGTCTCATCCCAGGGTCTGTAAACTATGGTCCGCAAACTAAATCCAGCCTGCAGTCTCTGGTTTTGTAAATAAAGGGTTATTGGAGCACAGCCACGCCCATTCTTTATAATGCGGTATCTGTGGCTGTTGGTTGACTGGTCAGGACAGAGACTGCTTTGGCCCCCCCACACCCAAAATATTTACTATCTAGAAGGCTTTTAAGCAAAAGTCGCTGACCCTGATCTATCTAAGAAAATGTGTTTTATTTTATTTCTTTATCGTCATTCAAGGACATTTTTTTTTATTGCTTTTTAGAGAGAGAGGGAGGGAGAGGAGGAAACCTCGATGTGAGAGAGAAGCATCGATTGGTTGCCTCTTGTACACACCTGGATCCGGAATCAACCCGCAACCTGCACATGTGCTCCGACCGGGTAACACGATGACACTCTAACAAACCGAGCCTCATTGGCCAGGGCTAGGCTAAGCAATTTTATATGATAGCTACAGAGTGTAAATAAGAGCGTTCCTATATGCGAAGTAAGATAGGAAATCTATCAGGAAGATTTATTCTTTAGTATCTTTCATATTTAACTCATGTTCAAACTACCATAACAATATATAATTATAGCTTCTTGGTTTTGCCATCTTTTTGATTACTTAAAATGATGTGCCTTAGAGAAAATTGTATTTATATAAAAGACATATGCCATTTTTTTGGTGTCATCCTTATTGTTTCAATGAACTAAGGCTAATTTTTTTTTTTTAAAATGATCTCCCAACTTTAGGTTTTTGAGTGATAGACAGAAAGGAGATGGGAATAAATGAGGGAGGAAGAAGGAGAAATTTTCTTCACATGAAACTTCTTTAGACCGCTCAGCTCTAGGAAATTGTTCTGGGGCGATGTTCCATCTCACGGGCAATCCCGATTTATTCTGAGGGAACTCCAAGCATGGAACTCAAATCCCATACTGGTAAGAGATACTTTAAAGAATTCTCTCTCCTGCTCTAAAGCTCACAGCCAGATTGCTGACCCAGAGTTGTTGATTCCGGGTCCCCTCAGTGGCTGCCTCTGTGACGGGACAATGAATTTTATCATGTTTTTTAAGTTGAGTAGGAAAAAAGAGGGGAAAATAGGGAGAGTTCTATGGGTCTCACCTTCGGTTAGTTCTGTTGGATTCAGGAGCCACTTTGATGAGACTCTCAAGGCCTTGGCCCCTTTAAGGCAGAAATGATCATATCAATGGCAATTTACATCATGTGGTTGCAAGTATTTATTAAAACTTAGAAACATTTTTATTGTAAAAATATTTTACTATGAGATACTTATTAAAACAGAGATCATCTCAAAGGGTTGGAGTTTTTCTGTGCTGATTGAATATATAAATTTTGGACCTAACTATAACTGCATAGAAATAATAAACAATAACTAATGCTTTTGGAAAATTTGTGACGTGCCAGGCACTGTTCTAAGTGATACACAATTTGTGTGATTTAATTCCTATGCCAATTCTACGCCCTAGGAAGAACTATCAGCCCAATTTCACAAAGGGAAAAACTGAGGCGCAGAAGGATTAAGAGTTGCCCACATGGCTAAGAGTGGCAGGGTTGAAATGCAAAGCTAAGCAGCCTAACTCCAGAGTGCACACACTTTCCATCACTCCAGCTGTCTCACTGGGGCATAGGAATGGAATTAGTTTTGGAGTAACTAGAGAGAACGTGCTCTAACTTCCTCACTTCGAGGATGAGAAAACTGAAGCCCAAACAGGGGAAGTGGCCAGTGCCCTTCACAGAGTTACTGAGGGCAGACAGACCCACAGCTAGAGGCGCCAGCCCAGCTCTCCTTCCCCTCTCCCGTGTCATCCCTCTGCTTAAGAAAAAATAAATAAATCCATAATAAAAGCACCCTGTCTATTCTGGAAAAACTACTCACTATTAATTGACCAAAATTGTTTACATTTTAGATACGAGGTTTTGGAGGTTACATGGCTTTGCGTGACCTCTCATTGAGTTCAGTGTCAGTCAGCTGAAATTATGATTCAATTTTATTTTAAGCATTGGTCAGCATGAAACAAAAAAGAACAGCTTATCAAGTCTTACCCTTGCACACTTTTTCCTGTTCTTGGATTCACTTTGATGAGCTTATCAAGGTCTTTGGAACTTTAAACAAAAAAGCAAACAAACACACAGTAAGTAAAAAAGGAATTAAATCAATTAAGTATTTTAATTTAAAGAATATATGTCCCCAAGATGAATTATACCATTAAGTTTTGGTATTTGAATTAATAGCAATCTTTGTTCTTCATTTAAAAGAGTAAAAAATTTAACCTCTTTACAAATCATTGACACACTGGCTCAGTCTATTTACCCTCAAAATAAAACCATAAAAATAGGCAAGATTGAGTTTTTAAAAAATAAGTTCAGAAATTATATAGTGATTTGCCAAACACTCTCACCTGGCCCCTCTAAGTATTCTATCTAATACTGTAGCTATAGTATATTTTGTCCATAATTTACATTTATAGTGCATTTTTTCTTTAAAAGAATTGTATATCCATTAGTTTACTTGATTCTTAAAATAATCAAGTGACAAAGGTGGAAGGAACATTATTGTCCTTATTTTATAACTAAAGAAGCCCAAGTGCAGCATGTTCAAGGCACCCACGTGGCAAATAATGGAGTCCAAACTTTCTGATTCCAGTCCAAACATTTTTCAACACAGTGTCTCTGATGAGTGCTACAAGCTGGTGCCAATGGCAAAGGAAGAAAAATAAGACATAATCCTCACCCTGAGTTACTTCTGTTTACCTCATGGGTCACTTGGTTGAGGTTGTCAAGACTCTGGCCCCTTTAAAATATTAAAGAAATGATGAGGTTAATAGCAAGTGGGTAAAATTACTTATTAAAATTCAGAAACAGTATAAACACTTACTGAGATCATGTCAAAGAGTTGAAGACTGAGATCATGTCAAAGAGTTGAAGACTGAGTTCAAAGAGAATGTAGGGATTTGTACATATCTAAAACTCATTAGACAATATTTTAATCTTGGAGCCATTATACCAGTAGCAGATACTGTTCCAGGACTCTGTTTCTGTAATGATTTATAATGCTACATGCTTAACCTTTGCCAGGTTCACTGAACATTTTGTAGTAGACTGGTAGACTGTATATACATCTCATGGAAAATTCCAGAAGATATCCTCTTTTTTCTCCTCCTCTGAGGATATACTTATTGATTTTTAGAGAGCAAGGAAGGGTGAGAAAGAGAGGAGAGAGGGAAACATTGATGTAAGAGAGAAATATGGATCTGTAGTCTCCCATTCTCTGCCATACACACCCCCACCGAGGATTGAACCTGCAACCCAGGTATCTGTCCTGACTAGGGAAGAACCTGAAACTTTTTGGTGTATGGGATGACACTCCAAGCAACAGAGCCAACTGTCCAGGGCCAGAAAGGCACCTTTTTAATATCAACCTCGAACACGTTGTTGGACTTTCAAATCAACTTTTATATATTATGTAAATGACATTCATTAGCAAGTTTCCTATTCAGAGCAATGAATTAAGATTAATATACTAGTTTGTTGAAGTCCATCATATACAACTTGGTATCTGCTTCTCGTACTTATAGCTGTGTGTTAAAAGTACAAATTTTGGCTCGTTCTGTGTTGGCAACAAACAATAAAAAGATTAAAATCTATGGAGTTCTGAAATGTAAACTATATTTACTGTAATATAAAACTCTATGTATTCACTGAAAACATGTCAGTACTTCATCGTTACCCTTTAATATATCTCCTTCTGATCTTAATGGAATTTTGCTTTTCTTACCATTTCTCCATGACCTGTGGCCCTACTATGATCATATCTTAAAGCTCTGTGCTTATGTCTATATACCAAAGATACAGATATATGGAAGCCACCAGATGTTAACTCAAGTTTTTACTTGTATCCAAATGTCTGAGAATGTTTATACCCAGGCTAAAAGCAGCAAAAAGAATTTGAACATTTTTCATATAAATAATGAATTAACCCGACAAATAACCATTCTACTCCAGAATACTCCTTGTTGATTTTTTTAACTTAGTTGTTTTTTGTGTAAACAAAGTATGAGAGATTTAAATGCCAGTGACTGAAAATAAAAATTCCTAGGATTCTATGTCCAGATTTGAGTATTCAAAAAAAAAAAAAAACACCAAAAACACAATGATAAGTATTGTAATTCCTCCCTTGTAATATTTGTATTGGTTGTGGGGTTTGCTTTGAATATATTGCAAAGACCTTGATCTCTTTAAACATATTAAACAAAGTACAAATCAGCATAAGGTTATTAAAATTTCAAAGTTCATCAAGTCAACAAGGCAGGAATGAGCCTGGAATAGAAAAACGATCAACTTGGCTAAACTTCATTGAACAAGTAAAAGGCCATAGCAAAGGATGAGAATTTTATTCTTCCTAAAATGTGATAGTACTGAGTCTTTAATAAGGGAGGGAACATAATCTTTATGTTACTTTTAAAAGATCTACAGGATAGCGCACACATAACCATACACACATGAATCCACAAGAACTTTTGTACATATGTGTACATGTGCACACATAGGCATGTGGATACACACACACATACCAACATAAGAAAAACAATAGGTGATGATTTGAAATACTCTCTTTAATAAAAATCAGAAAGGAAAACATGGATATTTTTTAGAGTCAAAATAAATTATATATTTGAACAGTATCTAAATCATTAAGAAAACATAAAGTCACCTGATCTTTATTACTGCTAAGTTACTATGTGCTAGGCATGATAGTATTATGATCCCTATTTTGCTGATGAGTACATTGAGGAACAGGGACACAGCTATTTGGTGACAGAGGCAGAATCTGCGCCCAGGGTTTTTGGATTCCTTGCTCCCATTCACTACCTCAAGTTACCTCTCTGAACCTGCAAGCAGCCAAGGAAATCAATCTTTCTTTTCAGTCTGTTGGATGCAAAATTGTACAAGTTTCTGGACCAGCGGCCAGCCAGGCCACTGAGAACAGGACAGCCTGACAGGCAGGGCCCCAGCTGGCCGAGCCCTGGCTCTGCCGACAGGGCCTCCAGGCATCAGTGACACATTTCAGAGTCTAATAATATCATGTGCTGAGTTAACCGAACGGAAAAGAGTTCAACTAAAACCACGTGGAATTATCTGGTACACTGTTTCCAGCAACATGCCAACAAGCTCAGTTTCAAATATATTCCATCTGCTTTCTTAAAAATTAAAATCAAGAGGATATTAGCCTTCAAGATTTACTTGACAATTCATGGGTCGGAGAACTCTCAGTGAGGTACACTTTGTTAAGCTCTTTGTCTTAAACACACACCACACTTCATACACATAAAACATGCAGCACACAAATACTACACTACAAATAAAGCACTACACATGTGAGGACAGTGCACATATATACACACATATACTACTTACATACCCACATACATACACTTATACATATATACCACTTACACATACACACGCACTACTTATACATACACACATGTGTATGCACACATTGTGATGGTTAATTTCATGTTTGAAATTGACTGGGCCCAGGTATCTGGCCAAACATCATTTTGGGTGTGTCTGTGAGGGGATTTTTGGATGAGATTAACCATTGAATCTGTAGAATGAGTAAAGCAGATAGTCCTCCCATGAGAAAGCCCCACCCAATCAGCTGAAGTCCTGAATGGAACAAAATGAGTGAAAGGGGACACCACGTGCCTGGCTGCTTGATCTGCATCTGTGGCCTTCTCCTGCCCATGGACTAGAACTGACAGCCTTAGCTCTCCTGCTCCTCATGGCTCCAGACTTCGACTTGGACGCCATGGGCTGATCTAGGTCTCCAGCTTGCTAAATACAGATCTTGAGACTTCTCAGCATGCGCCAATACCTTATAATACGTTTCTCTCTCCCCCACCATATCTATCTCTCATCTATTTATCTATCATCTATCTATATCCTATTAGTTCTGTTTCTTTGAAGAACCCTAATTAATACATATACATAAACTTAGACACACTCCTTACATATACATACATACATATATGTACAGGGTGAGGCAAAAGTAGGTTTACATTTGCGAGTAAGCAAAACATAGCTTATTCTTGCATTAGTATTTATTAACAATTGTATTACTTTTCACATGAATTGTAAACAAAGCTATTTTCATCCCGCTCTGTATATACATGTACTCCTTATACATATGTACATACACACATAGAAATAAATCACTTTGCTCAGAAGACATCAGTCAAAATTCCCATTTAATATTGCAAAATCTACCTGACAGAAAACCTAAGAATAAAATGCAAGAGATCATTTCTGTGTATCAGTTAAATAGAAATGCCTAATATGATGTGTTTCAGGAAAAGAGAGGTCTGTTTTGGCCTGAATTTCAATTTATTCTCTTGAATACAAACACTCAGAATGCTAATTAGCTTTCAAATGCCAGACAAAGGGAGGGAAAATGCTTCAAATACCTTACCTATTGATATTTTTATTTATTTCAGGATTCACTTTAGTATGCCCAAAGAGGTCTTGTTTCCTTTGAGAAAATAAATACATTTTAATGAATATTGTTTAAATAAAATACTAATCAAGTGAACAATGATCAGAAAAATTAAGTAGTAAATATACAAATTCTCTATCATTGTAATTTTTTAAGCTCTAAATGCAAGTGAAAAGTTTCTTACATCCTGAGCTGAAAACCATTTAAGTTGCCTTTTTCATTAACAAGAAACATGTTTTCTGTTTTGTTCTCAAAATACTTAAGTACACGTGAAACTTGTTATTTAAAAAAAATCAACTTTGCTGTCAGATACATCTTGTTAGAAGACCCCAAATGGTCAGCACTGAAGTTAGATAAATTTTTATACTGGATCTAGTCAGAATATAAATTTCTACTCAATAAATCAGATACAATCACCTATTCTATTTTTAGATAAGAGTAATGTTAATAATAATAATAATGTTTAAAATATCAAAACTGTTATTAATAGTAAATATTTTAAAATGATAAGAATATATGCTCTCAAATAAATCCAAACATTCCCCCAACTCAACCCTTTTAAATATAATTGGGTTATGGTGAGTTATAAAGGACCAAAAAAACCCTTAGATGGTGGAAAAATTAATGGCGCATTTCTAAGAGCACGTACATTCCCGTCAGGAAAACACATCGGGCAATTCCAAAAGGGGCAGACCCTGAACCCATAAGGGACCAAAGAGGACGGCAAGAGCACCAGCACTGAGCGCTGCTGCCGCCTCCTCACGCCGGAGGAGGAGTGCGAGGCTCTCCTGCGTCCAGAGCGCGTCCCTGCCCGGCCTTGCCCGGGCTGCCTTCTGAGACCATCGTCCTTAGAGAAGCTGATTTACAAGCGTTTGAGTCAAACCTTGCTCTTGGCTAGCTTTGTCATTTTGGAGAGCCACTTTGAAAACATTATCTAGACTGTGCTTTCTTTAAACACAGGAAATTCAATTCAGTAACTCAGCCTTAAAAACTGATCAAAGTCCAAAATCGGGGAGAAAATGCAACATCGGGACAATTCTTCAAAAATAAGTGATTTATTTTAGAGCAAGGGGAGAAGGTCCTATGACCCATAGTTATTGTCCAAATCCATGCTAATAAAATATGTTTGCAAAGTTAAAATGCCAAATCATTTTATCTTATTGTCACAGAAATCAGATTTAAGGCACTTATCAGTCTTACCCAGTGGTATTTTCACTTCTTCTGAAATTCATTTTGATAACATTATCAAAGACTTCATCTCTTAAAAAAGTTCAGATCAGTTTCAAAGTGTGTGTGTATGTGCATACAGATATATATCTATATATTTCATATTGTTAGTGATTACCTCAAGATATTTGAGAAAATAATTTTACTGATATTAAGTTCTCTTTTATTATAAAAATTGCCTATAAATAATATAGTTGAATCTTTTTGGATTCAGTTGGGCAATATGTAAATGTGAATTCACACAGAATGTACTATGGACTCTCCAAAATGAAGGTCAGGGTCTCAGGGATCAGACAGGGAAGAGAGAAGGTAAACCTAAAGATGGGACCCCCCAATATATCACTGAGAAGAAGTCACAGTGAATAACCAAGATTCAGGAACACCAAAGCAGTTCTCATTCTCTGTTAGTTTTCTCTGCCCTGGCTTTTGCTTTGATAACTATTATGAGATCTTGGTTTCTTTGGAAAACCATGAACACTTTATGACAGTTAGGTCTGATCTGAATTTTATCTGAAATCTGTATAAACAAGAGTATCCCTGAAAGGGTGTCAGAGGTTTCCAAGGCCAAATGACCAGAAAAACCTTTGATGTAATTATCCTTAGCTTATCTTGATTAATTTCCTCAGGAGTACTTGTTATAAATCACTTAAGAAAAACTTGCTAACATACCTCTCATTTTGCAATTTTGTCCTTTATATTTCTTAATTTAAATGTAAAATTTGGCTCATTTTTAAATTGTTTAAGAAAATATACAATAAGAGATTATGCAGCAGGTTTCCTGAACTTACTTCAATGCCCCTCAAATATGTGGTCCTATGGAAACAGCATTCATCCCTATTCCTTTGCATATTGCTATTGCCTTTTTTTTTTTAGAGCTTTTGTTTATTTGTTTTGTTTTTGTTATTGTTGTTCAGTCACAGCTGTTCCCATATCCCTCCCATTACTCTCCCCCCCCACCCCTGCCTCCCACACTCAATCCTCCCTCTCTCCCGCCTTTGTCTTTGTCTGTGGGTCCCTTATACATGTGCACCTTCATCTGTGATAGAGGAAAACCTAATCCTCTCATTTTTAATGAGGTGTAAAAAGCTAACCTGAAAAAAAAAGAGAGCCCCATCAAGTTAGGAATTTTACTTACCCTTTCTCATTTTTGTCAGGCCTTTGATTAAGATTAGTAAGACTTCCAAGGTCTTGGTTTCTTTATAACATTGTGTGGGTACAGGGGGAGGCAAGCAACGGAGAGAGAGAAAGAACAGTTCAATCTCTTACTGACAACAGCAGATTTCCCACAACAGGAGTATGATGTTAGCAGTATCTAAGGCATTAGAAGTCCTTAGAAATATTTAATTCAAGTGACTCTACTCATGCAAAATGCTGACAAGATATACTATCCTAATAGTAAGGTCCCAACCATCATTCGGGTATGATTAAATCAGTTTAAAGTCCCCTCCAGCTCTTTCTTTCTTTGTCCTTTATCGGTGGGAAGCTAACTTGAATACATTTTTAAAGATATTGTTGTCCTTTTTTTTAATGTTGTATTTATTTATTTTTAGAGAGGGGGAAGGGAGGAAGAGAAGGAACAAAACACCAATGTGCAAGGGATGGCCTGAAACCCAGGCATGTGCCCTGACCAGGAGTTGAACCAACAACCCTATGAAGGAGTTCATAGGCTGATGCTCAGTCCACTGAGCCACACCAGCCAGGGTGAGACATTGTCTTCTTTAAACATGAGAATCATTCATATCAGGGGTGGAAGTCAGATGATCAATATTTTAAATCTAAACATGCTGCAGACTTAGAGAAATCATTTTTAATAAAAAGTCCAAGGTTCTGAAGTAACCTTGGAAAGGTGGAACTATCTCTGTGACAGCCCCAGTTCTTTATGTAAATTGACCATAACCAATAAAATTTTCACATGTCAATAGCTTAAAACTTTTAGGAAGTATAAGAACTATTCCCTTTCAATTCCCCAATTATCCAAGTATTTCCTCTTGCAATTTTCATCTGTCTCTGATTTTGCTGTGATAAGACTATTAACATTTTAATTTCTTTCAATATAAGAAGATGGAAGTGGGGGTAGGGAAGAAGAAAAAGGAACTCTGAACTCCCCCTACTATACCAACAAGATCGTCATGCCTGCATCAAAGCCCAGATGCTATCAATTTATTCCAGATTACAAATCACTTCTCTTCCTTGCTAGCCCATAAAATGATCATTTGTATTGCTCACCCTAGTGTTCCTATTTCTGCTACTTTTGAGAAACTTTCCAAACTTTATTTTTTAAATATCTGAAATCTCATCTCTCTCTGCAAAGTTCCTATGACTACTTACAGCGGATTGACTATTATCCTACCTCATCTGTTCTCCACTTGGAAAAAATTAACCTGTAATAATACTTGCATATTTACATTATAATAATACATTGTTAGCAAGCATTGAATGCGTCTGGGATTATTACTGCCAACACTTTCATCGAGTGGACTTTAAGTGTTCTACGTTACAGAAAGTTGGGAACGCATCTGCAAAAGGAGGCATAGAAAGCTACAATACCATTCTGTTCCCAGGCTGGTGCAAGTAAATCATTATTAAAGATCACCAAACAATAGAAATAATTATCATGTTAGGAAGGCAAACTTAATGACTAACCCAATACAAGGTAAATAACCAATCGGCAGAAAACACAGAGATCTCATAAATCCTTCCACTTTCTCATTCTTGACTGTTCTAGGATTTCCTTTAATGAAACTCAAGAGTTTGGTTTCTTTCAACATGAAAAAATAATATCAGTAACATAAGTCAAGAAAATTTCCTAATATATCAGTAAGTGTCTAGAACTATAACTTAATCTCTTAAATGCTATCAGTTCAGTTACTGATTATTCATTAATAAAATAAATAAAACCACGGTTGTCAACTTTGAGATATTTACAAATATATTTTTTGTGACTCAACCAAGATTCCAACTGAAAATGGACTTAGTATATTACAAAGATTTCAGTGGTAAAGGGCTACGTTCCCAGCATCAAATTTCTTATAAAAAACATACTTAGTTCATAAACAGGCCTATTGTACACTATTTTCACTAACTGGATTGCTTCCATTTTTTAGGTTTAAGAGGGAACTTGGAGGCCATCTAGGTAGTACCCTTTAGTTTATGGAATAAGAAAACAGAGATCCCCAGAGCTTAAGTGACTTGCCCTGGGTCACCCAGATTGATAGTGGTGGCCGAGCCAGCCCAGAATATCCACCCATCTCCTGACCGTGACTGGGGTCCGAGCCCACCAGCCTTCCTGACCCTTGCTCTGAGCAAGGGGTCTCCCCAAGGAGAAGGTATACAGTTTAGGACGCAGTCAAAGAAGCCTGTAAGGGTCTTAATCAGACCTCACCTTTTGCCATCTTTGTTTGCCTGGGTATTCAGAAAGATGAGGCTTTCCAGGCTTTGGGCTCTGTAAAACAGAAAGAAATTCAAATTATAAACTGCATATTGAAATAAAATTGCGTGGTGCCTTGCAAGGTCAGATACAGTTTACATTCTTCATGAATTGCTCATTTACTTAGTGAATATAAGAGCAGAGATCCTTCTGAGCAATTATGTTTGAACTAATTGTTCGGCACTGAGGGTGCTACCCCATCAGCTAGTACATTTTCATGCCAGAGGAATACAACTCCCTCCCAGCTAATGTGTGAAAAAATAAAACAGGCAATCTGGGAGATCATATCTTCAGGTTAGAGACAGATGAACTTACCGTTTCTCTACTTGCTCTGCCTTAGGTGTTGTTCTGAAGATGCCATCAAGACCTTGATTTCTTCAAATGTATTAAAAAAAAGCACCTTGTCAGTGGTAATAATGGATACTTTATAGAAACATAGACCAGTTCACATCTAAGACAGGAAATAGAAACTTCTTGGGAAAGATGAGGCCCAATTTTTGAAATTGCTTTATTCCAAACAGATATTTTCATAGACACAAAATTTAAACTGCAGTGCAACTGAAATAAAAGTTACAAGTTGGGGGTACACACCCATAGTAGGCACACAGACGTTTTGTTTGGATTCATGGAGTGTTTTTGTTTTCAGTGTGAGCCAATATTTATTGTACGAGATGGCCGTGAAACAAATCTAAATTTCCAGGGCCTCCTGAAATTGTGCTGCAATGTGGCTCCAATTCTCACCGGACAGCAATCAGCTGGAACTGACAAAACAGCTGGGCTCTGTGGGTGGGGCATTGCCCTAGGCTTCACCCAGCCAACCTTCTTCGCTCATTTACACCGGCCCAGCCCCCACAGGCCATGGGATCTGGGCTTCATGATCTACTAATACCTGCTCCTCATATCGACAAATGAGAAACCTAAAAAGCAGCAAATGTAAGTGTGTTGTTGATAGTCAATCATATGGATCCTTATGGTCAAAACAGAGTAGGAGAGCCACATCTCTTGATCAATGAACTCGTTTGACATTTGCCTTGTTTCTCCTTTCCTTTGGTCCCTGTCCCTTTAATATGTTAGAACGCAAAGGAACAGAGAGGTAACTAAAATTCCACACATCTCTAAAACAAACCTCAATTTTTATAATTTTTAAAGTATGCAATTATAAATGATTCAAATTGAGGAAATAATGTTAACTGAGATAGTAAGTGGGTCTTGTAATGGTTAAACTAACAGCATTTAGTGAACAAACCAAACTCTGTTTACATACTAACATATTAATATTTCAGGAAGAGAAATGTTATTTATCTAACTGCTCTACTAAACAAGTGGAGAAGGAAAATCAAAGGCACTTTAATACCAGAATCTTTGGATTGTAATAACCATTCCCAATAATGATGAGATGATGATTTCTGCCGGCTTTTTTTCCAACATTTGTAGGACACTTTTGACTAGCCCAGAACATGGGTCCTCAGGCTCAAATATGGAAAATACAGAAGAAGTCACAATATGTAATTCTGTAATAATGCAAAAAAATAAATGCTTAAAAATCTTACCTATTCAAGCTTTTGTTCATTTTGATGATATTATCCAATTCTTCACTTTTGGAAGAGAAAAAAAAAAAAATCTCACATCAGTAAAAGCCTACTCAGAGTCAAAGGGCAGATTCCCCTTAAAAACAACCATTTCTAAATTCTCTGAAATACAACACATGTCTCACCTTTATCGATCATGAAAATCTTGTCTTTCCTTCAAAGCTGTCCTCAAATACCTCTTTCTCCATGAAATCTTTCCCAGTTCTCAACTCAACAGGGCTCCCTCTGTTTTTGGAATCCTTACAGCCTTTTGTTTTGTTGCATCTCCTTTATGGCAATTACATTACTATACATCTAACTTAGCAACTGCACGCTTGTCTCATTTTAATATCCCTACTCCTACATATGTGAGCGTGGACAAAGACACATAAACACCCACCCACACCACTTACAGTTTAGAACTGAATTTTACCTTGGGTCCTCTTCAGTCTTTAATATAGTGTCTTTCATCCAGTAGATGCTTAATACTGGTTTTTAATTGAATAAAAAAATGCAGATACCTGACTAATTATAGATTCTATTTTTGCACAACGTGCTTGCCCAGAGCAGGTATTGAAAAACACTTGTTCATTGGTAAGTCTGACTACTTTCTTGAATTCTGCTCAACCTCAGTCTAGGTCAGCTAAACTCGGTATCCTGTCTCTGTGTTCAGGGACTGTAAAGCTTTTACTGGCTGCTTCTTCAGGGGCAACCTGTTGAAGCAAATCCCCTGTTTTCCAGGATATCCCTTAGAACTACATGAGCTTAGCCCTCCCCGCCAGGAGGGCAACCTCATGCATGTCTTGCTTCCCTTCACTCCTCACAGCACATCCTTTCCTGTCTTATTTGCCCCCTTTTCTCGTGCGTTCCTCATCTAGTGTTTCAATTCACAGATCTTGGTCCTCTCTTTTTCCTGATCTAGAATCATATGTTTTTCACACTTTCTCAATAGTTCTATTGATTGATTGATTGATTGATTGATTCATCACTGGTGTCCATCACTGGGCATGAGGCCCAGGAACTCAGTAGTTACACATTCAGGCTCCCAAGTGAGGGATCCCTGGATTCCAATGCAGGATTCACCCCTTATTAGTTGGTGACTCTGGCGGAGTTACCCAGCCTCTCACTGCCTTGACTTCCCCATCTGTAGAGCAAGAATACTAATTGTACCCACCTCAGGAAAGAATCAAGAAGCTAATGAGTATAAAGTGTTTATCACGATGCCTGGCAAGCCACACATTAATTTTGGCCGTTATATTAAACAGGTCCCAGTCAATACTAAATATTTATTTAATAAATTGTTGCTATATTCATTTTTAACTGCGTTTAGAAATGCCAAGAATTTGGCTTAGCCTTATGGAGGGACAGTTGCTGAGTCACTTTTGTGTTTTGAAGATGCCTGACACAAGGTAGCAACAGGATAGCTATTGGTGCAGTCCCCTTAGAGACCCTTCAGGGCACGTTAAATCAGCTGTCACATGAATGCTTTCGGTGTTTGATGGTAGTATTGAAGACTGAGGGAAAAAAATACTGAAACAGAACAGTTACTAACTGTGAAAAAACTTGATTAATGTTTTGTCCTTGTGTGGGGCAAACATTACCCGGTTCCCTGACACAATGCCCCATTGTCTCTGCTTGCTTGAAATCCTACCTCCCAACTCGGAGGCTGTGGATCTGTCCATGTCCCCAAGGGAAAGAGCAAAGCTAAGAATCCTGTAAATTTTAGCCACACACCTTTCTGACTGCTATGAGTCACAGTGATGAGATTATCGGGATTGGGGGTTGCTCGTGTTTATCACAAGAACATTAGCATAAATCATGAGAAGACACTCTGTGGTAAATTAAATAAAATGGAGATTGCATCCTGAATGAAGAAGTTCCGCTTTTAAAATGGCCTTACATTGATGAAAGCTTTGGATATTAAGTTTCACCATTGCATTTGCAATAAATTAAATGTGCTCTTAATCAGATAAGAGTAACAGCCCATTTCACAAAGGAACATCACAAAGAGCAGCCGGGATAAATAAAGCTATTTCTAGTCCCTACGAATGTCCCGCAGGAACAATACTCAGCTATTGATGCAGCAGACATTCTCCCTGGCCCCCCTCAGCCCCTGGCTCCCGGGGGGAGAACACACACAGCTGTGGGACTGGTGCCTCGTGGCCAGGGGGAGTGGACAGCAACGTCCAACTCCCCGCAGATCTCACTCTTTCTGTTTGACTTCCAACAAACCGTGATTTCTCTTCAGTGTCACTCACTTATCTCTCTCTCTTAAACATCCCTTTCACCCACCAAAAACTATTTTAAATCCCTATTAAAAACAAAATATTACCTCAAACAAAAATCAATGAAGAAAATTAGAGATCTAGGTACTTAGATGAGAGAAGGAACGGGGATGAAACCTTCAGATACTTTCTAGAGTCCTCTCTGGATTCAGAGCTCCTCTTCTGTTTATGAACTTGCACAGAAGAGCCAAATGTTGCCTCTGTTTTTCCCTCCAGTTTTTTGACTGAAACTGCAATCCCTAATAACACTCTAAATATTGCCAAATTCCAGGAAGCAAGAAAAATTTGTAGGCAGGGGATTTAAACTATGAAATATTTATACCCGAGGTTTTCTCACTGCTCATCATTATTTTACCATGCTCTACTTTATAAACACCTACTTTGTACAAAGCATCAGGCCAGACTCAGTAAATGACATATGATGAGTAAGAAAAAAATATGCTCTAAGAGATTTAAAAGATGATAGAGACGATGAGACATTTACATAAATAACATGAAATAGCACCAAATATGATGAGTTGTCATAAAATAAAAATAGTGGAGCTCTAATAGCCTAGAGAAACAGTAGTCACATCTCACTAGAGCACTCAGGGAAGACTTCACAGAGGAGGTGATATTTGATTTGGATCTTGAAAAATAGGCAGGCCTTGGATGGATTGGTGTGGGGATCTGGAGGCTGGAAAAGGCTGCCATTGGGCAGAATGGCATAAACAAAGTCAGAGTATCCGGAAACTACAGAAAGGAAGTAATTTAATTTGGTATTGAATGTAGGGAATTTGGTATTGAACTGGAAGGGCAAAGTCAGAAATAACTCTAGAATGTTAGGTGGGAGCCCAGATAGCAAGGGCCTTGAATGAGGTTTTATGTGATTGAGTGGGCCATGGGGAACCTGTGGGGTCTTGTTCACACAGAATCTTAGGAAGAGAATTTTGGCAGTGATGGGGAGTAGTGGTTCAGTGGGCGCAGAGACGGGAGGAGTGTAAGTCAACCTGGGCAGCTACTCTAATAACCTATGCTGGGGTCAGGGAGAGTCTGCGGAGGGCCGAGGCCATCAGGGCGTGAGGGACACTTGAGACATTTGACCTATGCATGCCTGATACTACATCGAGGGAAAAAGACATGGGCAGATTAGGAATGATCCCAGAAAGGAGAATCATAGAACAGAGGAGAAGTCAGGAAATAGGCTATTTGGGAAGGAAGTTGAATATGGCCTCAGACACTAAATGGGGGTGTTAGGGAGACAGATAAACAGAGGTCTGCACAAGCAGCACAGTTACAGGACTGACAGTTTGGGATGAGGTCAAGACCATGGACATCTGAGGTCATTAGGATGTGCACAGTTACTAGAGGAGGAAGCAGAGGAAGAAAAGTACCTATAAATATTTGTACCACCCAATTTTCAGAGACACATCTATGGGTACTGATTCTGCTGTTAAATTCTATATAATAAACAGCATTGAAATTTTGTTCATGCCGGCAAATTTAAGGTACTGATTAAGTGTTTTAAAATATGAACAGAAGAGAAAACCAACTGGAAGTTCTGAGAGCTCACCCCTTGTCTGTCTTCTGAAGTGAAGTAGCCACTTTGACGATGTTCTCGAGATCCTCATTCCTTCAAAGAGTGGAAAATAAATACAAGTTGATGATAGTAGAGCTACCTTTGAAGCAGCTAAAATTTTTCATCTTTTCTCAGTGAAGACAATGATAGTTCATGTGTTATTTAGGAATTTTTTAGTCTAACTGAATAGCAAAATAGTTGCATAATATCAGCTCTGACACCCCCCCCTCCCCCAACTCTGTCATTCCACATGGGCATCGATTATGCCACCTAGTGGTCACTGAAATAACTACAGTTTCTCCTAAAAATGTAATTGGCTGTTAGAAAATTTTATACCTAAAAAAGGATATGGAAAAGAAAATACAGTTAACTGCACTAGTAAACACAGAAGTGTGTTCAAATTCTTTCTACCAGAACCAAGAAACATTAAGCAACACATTCAGATGATCACTTCATCCCTCACATGAGGGGAAAAAATGCTGTCTTCCACAGGGAAAGAAAGTACACATAGCTTAAATCCATGTGAGGAAATAATTGGAAAAATTCCTTATAAGTTTCCCTGTAATTAACACTTGTTTTTTACAAACAATCTCTAACAAACATTAGGATTCCATGAAGAAAAATTTTGTAGCCTGGTAAATACGGGAAGAGCAACCAACTTTTGGAGACTCAGGAGATATACATGCACACTGAAGGCTTTGAGAAGGCATATGTCAGAGGACTCTATTTAATTGCATTTCCTCAATGTATTGGGCCATTAAACCCTTCTTCCACAGTATGCATGAACATGTTGTGGTGCATGGGATGCAACATGGGAAGTGCTGAGGTAGAGATGCACTTTAAGTTACTAGGTACTAGACAAACATGATGTTCTCCAAAGGTAAGGTATTGGTGTGATGTATATTTCAAATTCTGTTCTGAGAGTCAAAGCAAATGATTAAAAAATTAAAAAAATGTAAGTTTTGAAGTTTGAAAATGTTTTCAGTCTAAAGAAGTTTGACTGGTTTATCATAATGATTAAAATACTAAACATATGGGGTTGTTTTTTTTACCATAATAAAAATTGGCTTATCATATTGATATATTAAATTTTAACAACTCTACTTTAAAATATATCTTTGACTCCATAAAAATGTGATATCAGAACAAATCATCTTGCATATAAAATAGCACTGGCTCAAAAACTAATTTCAAAAATAGTTTTTTTCCCTAAAAAAAATCTAGACAATATATCCATAGCAAATACTAAACTAGACGAGATGTGCAAGACAACAGGCATAGATCAGAACAGGCATATGGAAAACTACCCCAAAGTTATCAGCACAATGTGTGAGCCTCTTCCTGACGAGGCAGGAAGAACTGGATGTGACCTTATTATACAGAAATTCTAGGCAAAGCTCTTGTAGAACAAGTTCAATCGGGTGACTGGATTTTTACCTATTCATTTATATATTGGCACCAACGTTGGACAGGTGCTGGCAATGAAGAGGTGTTTTCCTGTCTAAGGGGTTTAATTTTATTCTGTTACTATGTTTAGACCATTTTTGTTGTTTTCTTAATGTAAATCTTAAAGTAGGAATTAAAGAAATAAAATTCTTAAGTACATTTTAAAAATATTTGTTACCCACAGCCGGAAAACTCTTTTTATGTACTTTATTATTAATTATTTTGTATGTTTAAGTGTTCTAATAGAGCATACTTTATCATTTCTATAATTACATAGATGTAGAAATAATTCATTTTACCTTAACTTTCTTTCAGCAGATCTGTTGGTTTCTGTATATACACCTGCTTTAGGTGGACAAATCTGCCTGTATTTTAAAAGTTAAAGATAATGTTAGGTAAGAAAACACTTCTTTGTTAAATTTAAAGTTATAAGAAAGCATTTATGTTCAAAAACATCAAAGTTTATTGGAACACTATTTGCGATGAGAAACTTCGCGAGAACTCAACCACATATTTTATTTGAGATTATAGAGTCCAATATACTAACTTTGCAACTTAGCCTATCTCATTTAATATATTTTGACCACTAAATATATATAGAAATATCTGTTCTAAATATGTTCATTTTATGTTCATTTTTCCTCACCCGAGGACATCTTTTTCATTGCTTTTAGAGACAGAGGAAGGGAGAGAGAGAAACATCAATGCAGGAGAAGCATCCATCAGCTGCCTTCCACATGCACCAGACCAGGGATGGAACTCACAACCCAGGTATGAGCCCTGACCAGGAATCGAACCCGCAGCCTTTCAGTTATGGGACATAGCTCCAACCAAATGAGCCGCACTGGCCAGGGCCATTTTTTGTTCATTTTATTTTAGTTTACAGTCATCAATAAAGCATTTTCATACTTATTTCTTTTAGATGACATATTTTGAAAGATTAAGACTCATTTTTGTTATTAGGCATCAGAGAGATGATTTTTTTCTTAAAGACATTTGATTTGAATTCTATGAAGAAATATAAATGCTTAGATATGATGGGAAATATTTTTAAATTTCCACTATACCCACTACACTGAGAAATGACCACATTGAATTGACAGAATGAAATTTCACTATGTTAGGTTCTGTCACAATTAATGATACAAGGCTTTTCTCTGCTCTTTTTCCAAGTATCTTATTGACCTACTTATAATTCCTGCTTGTTCTCAGGAAACTATATTCAACATTTTTTTTATACTCCTGAGGGCATGTGTTAATTACTTAGGAAACACTTCTCTTTCATATCCTTTCATTAAAATCATCTTGCTGTGATTAAAGTAATCAGGATTTAAAGCATGTAAGTTGTCCTAATTTTATTTTTAAGATCATTGATAGAAGAAATAAATTAGAGTAGTAAAAATGGGTTAGACCAATTCCCATGAAATTTAGCTTCTTTTGAATCTACATAAGTTCATTGCTCTGGAGTCACTGATTTTACAGTTTATGATGTACTAAATCCAATTTATTTTAGCCCCCTAAAAAATGCTATTCAAATGAAGATTTAATTGGTCAATATTATAAAAGAAAGTATAATGTAAGATAAAAAGCTTGAGAAGTTGTTTTTAAGAGTATAATGATAAGATTGCACAAATAAAAAGTTTTAAATATAGCCAATATTTTTAATTAATTCAGTGAAGAAATATTCTCTTGACTCATTAAAAAAGTGTATTCTCTCATCCTAAGGACAACATTTCAAAGGCCCTGTGAAGTTTCACTGGATAGAAATTCAAACCTGAGTTTTCGACTCAAGAGGCTGAACACTTAATGCTACAGAGCTCTGTTGCCTAATTAGCATTTTCTAGTTGAAGTTACCCTCTTACTGAAGAGTAGTTCTAGAATTGTCTTACATGTTGTCAAAAAAAAAAAAAGGTCACCATCAAAAGGCAAAAATACAAAAGAATCAAAGACAGGCAATGAAATGGATATGATGTACTCTCTTCATTGAGATACCACTTTTAAATTTCACAATAATAATGGAAATGTGCAAAGTACATATTGAAAAATGATTTGAGGTTATTAAATAGTTTAATAGGAACACATGGGGAGATTTTCAGGTCTCCGAGTTTGTTTTTCAGTATTAATTACAGAGTGTCAGAGAGTCAAAGTGGAAAAGCAGTTTGGCTTTTTTCCTTGATTTGGAAACAAGTTAATTAGAATATTTTTCAAAATTCATGATAGTTTTGAAGTAAATTATGAATTCCTAGCTAAAACAAGACTAAAGAACTATGTAAAGATGTTTTTAACCTAAGGGAGGGTTGGAGAAGTAACACAAAGTTTTAAAAACATCTTTCATCCGAAATCGTAGCTCTTAATGGGAAACTTAACTATGAGTGAATGTAAGCCAAATACACATATATACACAGATGGAAAGAGAAAGAAAGAGGTTCCTTTCACATTGGTTCCTAAGACATAAATGAGAGGAACCTGAACACATCCTGGACATGGATACTGTTCAGTTCCTATCTTGAAAGCATATTTCCAGAGACAAGTAATGGTCATAAGCATTCAAAGGCAAACATAAACATAGACTTGTGCTGACAAATAGAAATAGAAAAGCTTTACAAGTGCTTCTTCAATTAATGTACACACAAAACAAACCCATGCCTTACACAAAACAGGTCACAGTTCAATTGCTTTCATATCCCTTGAACTTCTTCATTTGGGAAATTATGGAGTGCTAGGTCTTACCTATTATCCCGTCTGAGCAGGTTAGGAGATAAAGCAGGAGAAGTGGGCTTTGGAGGTATTGGAGGATGAATGGCTGGTTCCCTTTAAAATAAAAAACAGCAGTTCATTTCATCATGGAAATATGGTCTGCTTCAGCATCTATTAATCAAATGCAGTTATTAGATACCTGAAAATGTCTTGCATATCTAACAACCCCCCAAACATGAGGTCACTAAAAGCGCTAAATTTTGCAGAAGCCAAATATTTGAATTATGGATATTTTAAATATTTAACAAAATTTTTGGAAGTCATATCTTCTTTAACTATGATTTGAAACATAATTTTTTTCCTTTAAACTGCTTAATATTTTGCTAGGCTATCTAGCTAAAGTTGTGGCATTTCGGGTCAGCAGTGAATGAGCATAGCAAATGGTTCTTGGGCATTAATATATAAGCTCCTTTAGGAATTATGTCAGCTATCAGTCTGCTACAGAAACAGCAAGGAAGGTTTTCAATTCCACAGAACTCAAGGTCAAGTTAATCTGAGGCGCTTTACTAAATCTGACTTAAATATTGTCAGTGCAGCTATACTCAAAACAATCTGGTACTGGCACAAGTAGAGACCCATAGACCAGTGGAACAGAATAGAAAGCTCAGAAATAAGCCCAGGTCTGTATGGGCAACTAATATTTGACAAAGGGGGCAGAAGCATAAAATGGAGCAATAATAGCCTCTTCAACAAATGGTGTTGGGAGAGCTGGACGGCTACATGCAAAAAATTGAAATGGGATCATCAGCTGACACCATACACAAAAATAAACTCAAGATGGATAAAAGACTTAAATATAAGTCGCAACGCCATAAAAGTCCTAGAGGAGAACATTGGCAGGAAACTCTCAGATATCCCACGCAGCAATTTTTTCACTGATATGTCTCCTAAAGCAAGGGACGTAAAGGAAAGAATAAACAAGTGGGACCTCATCAGAGTAAGAAGCTTCTGCACGGCTAAAGAAAACATCAGCAAAATGAAAAGGGAGCCAACCCTATGGGAAAATATATTTGCTAATGCTACATCAGATAGAAGTTTGATCTCCAAGATATATAAAGAACTCACTCGACTCCACTCCAAGAAGACAAATGATCCAATCAAAAAATGGGCAAAGGACCTGGGCAGACAGACGCTTTTCCAAGGAAGAGATACAGAGGGCCCAGAGCCATTTGAAAGGATGCTCGGCATCACTAGCCATCAGAGAAATGCAGATCAAAACCACAATGAGATACCATCTCACACCAGTCAGAATGGCCATCATAAACAGATCAACAAACAACAGGTGCTGGCGAGGCTGCGGAGAAAAGGGAACCCTAGTCCACTGTTGGTGGGAATGCAGACTGGTGCAGCCATTGTGGAAAGCAGTGTGGAATTTCCTCCAAAAGCTGAAAATGGAACTGCCTTTTGATCCAGTGATTCCCCTGCTGGGACTACATCCTAAGAATCCCCAAACGCCAATTCAAAAGAAACTATGCACCCCAACGTTCATAGCAGCACAATTTACAATAGCCAAGTGTTGGAAGCAACTTAAATGCCCATCAGTAGATAATTGGATCAAAAAATTATGGTACATTTACACAATGGAATACTACGCAGCAGAAAGAAAAAAATAACTACTACACTTTGTGACAGCATGGATAGAACTAGAGAGCATTATGCTAAGTGAAATAAGCCCGGGGGTGAAAGACAAATACCATATGATCTCACCTATAAGCGGAACCTAACCAACAAAACAAAGATGTAAGGAAAATAAGACCAGCAACACTGAAAGAAAAAAGAAACCAACAGAGACAAGAGGGAAGGAGGGAGAGGTGGGTAGGGGAAAAGGAAGGGAAGGGGCAAGTCAAGGAACATATAGCAAGGACTCATGGACAAAGCCAAAATGGGGAAAGATTGAGGGAGGGAGAGGGGGTAGGGGGCCGGGGAAAGTTGTGGGGGGAAGGTGGAGACAAATATATTTGAAAAAAGAAATTAATAAAAAAAATATTGTCGCTGCAGGCCAGTTTGATGTGAGGAAGCATATGTGCTCTTGTGTGTGTGTACACACACACATACACACACAAAATCAGCCCAAACTTTGCAACCAAGTGCCCAGGCAGCCTCTAAGCTGGTATGACTGGGTAACCTAGGAACCAGAGTCAGGCCAGTATGTGAATCATGTGACTCTTTTGGATGGAGCCACTATAATATGCAGGCATGACACCCCTCACCCCCACAGCCATTCCAGGTGTTCCATTTTATCCTCAAGATAAATTGTATATCTGGCAAAGTAGCCTTGGCACCCAGATTCCATGTGCCTGTCTGGCTTCTGCAGCACCTTAGATGAGTATGTGGTCTCTAGACCCAGCTGCCTGAATTGTCAGCTTTGTGATGATGATTTAACTTGATTCAGTTTCTTTATTTGTAATGAGCCTTCTAATAGGGTGGCTGGGGTGTTGTCAGAACTGAATGAGATCATGCTTTCATTTAACAAACATTTATTGGTAGCTTTCTATATATAAAGCACTCTACAGAGTGATCAATTTCCCTGCTCTGCAAAGGCTTTCAGTACGCAAATAGATATATGACAGATGGAGAAAAGTGTTATGAAGAAAAATAAAACAGAGTAAGGAGATGTAGAGTGATGAGGTAGGGATAGTATTTTATATAGAATGGACTGGGAAGGCCTCTCTGGGAGGGAAAATTTGAGACAAGACCTGAAGGACATGAGCTGCGAGAACATCCATGGAAGAGCATGTAAACATGAACATGATCAGCTCAGCAGTTGGGTTTCATGCTTGAAACTGGACAGGATCTCCAAGGGTGTCAGCATGTGCAGAGGTGGAGAGGGGCCAAGAGCTGAACTCTGGGCCCTGCCATGTTTGCAGATGTTAAGGATATGCGAAGAAAACAGCAAAGAAGTGTGGGGAGAAATGGCTGCGGAGAAAAGAAATGTGAAAGTGTGGTATCAAGGAGCAACAGTGTTTCAAGCAGTAATTGGCCATGCCACATGCTTCTGATCAAATAAAACAGGACTGGCAAGTTACCACGGTTTTTGCAGTATTATAGCGGTCATTGGTAACCCAGACAAGAGCAGCTTTGATGGAGCAGCGGTGAAACTACATGACAGGAGTGGATTTAAGATAAAAGGAGGGGTAATGACATGGAGATGTTCTGCGATGAAGAAGGCAGAGAGAACTGCACAGCTGCCTGAAGGTTGGTAGCTCAAGGAAGGTCGCTAGAATAGTTAGATATGCTGATGGGAATGGAACCCAGAGAAGAGGCTGTGTTTGCCAGTGCAGGAAATGAAGACTGTGAGCTCCGTAAGCCCTCCCCCTGCTACACTGCCTCCCCTGGCTCCTGGGCAGCTCCCATGGCTCAGTGGAGGTTAGTATTCTCGAAATTAAAAGAAGGCGAGTTAACACTGCTTTGTCATGTTCAGCTGCTTTAGGGGCAGCAAGAGAATAGATGGAGAGTTGGATTTAAGTAAGCTTGTGATTCATCCCAGTGAGACTAACCAAAGAATAATAGCAAGGGAGGGGAGGGTACCCATAGGAGTGATTACAATGAGGGACCGTGAGATCCAAGACGGACAGGGAGGGAAATGCGGATGTGGTGGGAGTGGGGAGTGAGGAAGTGAAGAACTGTGAAAAGATAAGAAACCCAGTGGATTGGTGGTTGGGGTGCGGTTGAGGAATTTCTAGAATCAGAAAACTGGAGGGTATGAGCTGGACAGACAGAAAGCCAGAGAGAGAAAGCTTTGAAACTAAAATTGTGTACTGAATGTGGTTACTCACAAGGGCAATGCCTATGGGTGGCTCAGGTGCGGTGGGGGGCAAGCTCCCTGGAGAGGTCGAGAAAGTGAGAGGCCAGGGCGGGAAGAGGTCCTCTTCCTAGGTTTGGAACCCACCAAGCATTACGGCAGGGGCTGTGACTGGGAGAGACAATGAGCTTGGTGCCGGCACCTTCAAAGAGTGAAGGTGAGTGTCTCAGAGACCTTCAGATAATTCCGCTGAGGAAGAGAAGATCATAAAGGCATGGCTCGAAGATGAGGAGTGTTAAGGAGCAGGGCATTAAAACTGATAGGAAGGGGCAATGAGGAATGAACAGAACCCTATGATATGAGGGGCTGGGAGAAAAACAGCCCTTGCTGAGAGGAGGGTTGTGGGAGCAGGGGCCTCAGGGAGCACCCAAGAACCAAGTAAGAGATCAGTCAGAGATGAAGTTAAAGAGCAGCACGTTTTGACGATAGCAGATGACACATGCGGGGGATGCCATGGAGTTGGAGAGATCGGGATGACGTTAAGTGATGCACGGTTTTGTGGGGATGGCTCAGGTGCTAAGAAATGATACGACTGTGGTTCCCATGGGGAGCCATGGCCCCAGGGATGGAGACCGCAGCTGAATGGCCCTGAAGCTTTCGGGGCAGGGTGCAGCAGTGAGACTCTGGGGGAGGGGCAGTAAAGCAGCAGAGAATGGAGCGAGGCGGGTCTCCTGGCTCTTGTGCTGATTCGGCACTGAAGCCAGGAGAAGGCCACGCAAAGCCTGAGAACATGGTCTGACCCACTGTAAGTGCTCAAGAAATGTCTAGTGCTGGGGTGGCTTTTCCCCCAACTTGAACTCAGTACTGTGCCTGTGCCAAACTACTTGCATTCCCTACCTGTCCTCAACCATCACTGTATTCTGGCTCCTCTCTGGAGTACTGCCCTCCTCCTGTTACCTGGACGCCTCCTCCTTGCCCTTCAGACTTTGGCTTGGATGTTATCGTCTCTAGAGGCACCCAAAGCTGTGCCGTATACACCCCTAAGTCTCCTCATAGCATGTCTTCGCAGAACATATCGCACTATTTTGGATTGCATGTAATTTTCTGCCTCCACACTGGACTAAATTCTCCTAAAAGGATAGTTATATCTCAAGTAGTAGAATTGTGTATGACAAGGGTGTCCAATAGAGATGTACAGTATGAATGAAAGGAGTGATTAATGTCTGTTTGGTGAAGAAGGAAATGTGTACTGAAGAGGAGCCTGAAATTTTCAAAATCTTCAAGTTTAGCTTGAAGTCCACAGGAGAAGTCC